CCAGACATGTTGAAGGTTACTGAAAAAAAGTCTTTGGTGGTTAGTTGGAAAAGATAATTAACTGTGAGTGGTAGTTGTAAGTCGTGAATGCTGTTGTTTGCTTTGCTTCTATAGACCTTCACTGCTTGGACGGTGCAGATATCCTATCTTTATACAAAGAAGAGGGTTGTAAAAATAGTTTCAGATCCCATCTACACAACATCAGTTCGTCTTCCTTGTTTCGCGCTTGGTTATTTTCATGGTGTCGAGGGCCGTTGGTGACCCATAGCTGCTGGGTTCAGTTTCGCGCTTGGTTATTTTCATGGTGTCGAGGGCCGTTGGTGACCCATAGCTGCTGGGTTCAAAATCTGTCACGTTCCCAACTGCTCTTTTTTGGGAATTCAAAGACATGGAAGTGAATTCGGGAATGCCATCGTGTTGTTTCAAATCTCGATGCTAGGAGTTCTAATCAAGGACGGCCCTGGCCGACACCGCGGTGTCCTAAAACCAACGCAGGCGCAGCAATGGAGCTTGGTGATTATGCGGTGACATTACACCTTGCCAGAGCCACTGTGACGTTACGTTGCATGAGTTGGTGATCTAGAAGGCCGAGGCCAGTTCACGCCGTAGACTAAGCTTTCTTGAGCCGGTGGAGTTGAGGCTGGACTTAGGCGGGCTTGTGCCACAGACGGTCGCAATGGTGGCGGATTTTGACTCTAAAAAAAGTGACAAGTCTAGATAGGGGACATTCAGGTACCCACCGCTGATACAAGGTGAAGACGGCACAGTTCCATCCACGTAATAATATGAAATTTGGGGGACTTTGTTGTGGCTGTGAAAACAGAGCCAGGCCTGAACCATTTCTAACCAATCATTTGCTGCGACTGTTTACGCTTTCAGGCGATCACAACCCCGCACTCCGGCTGGTCTTCATCCAATGCAATTTCTCTCACAAATAACAACAAAGAGCGGCCATCCTGCGCTTATCAATCTCGACTGAGCAACCATGACAAGAGAATGAGTCCAATCATCTTTACTTGTCCCCTTTGTGGATGGCGCATCTACGAACCCTCAGCCACATCATCCTGGATGAATGAATTTCGTGGCCGTAAGTCTCTCAAAAAAGGTCACCTCATTTGGCGCGCCTGCTGACGCGTCGTTACTCAGTTTACTTATGTTCGACGGAAAAGAAGATTACCCTGACAGGTGTTGGCCTCTACAGCGATCCTGAAGGTGGCGTCTTTATCGCTCCACCGAATACAGCTAGCCGATATGATGATGATGGCTACAATATTTCAGAACAGGACCAGTTTGGAACCTGGGGATATGCAGTCAACAACAGACGCGGCTTTCCTATGCACGACGCCTGCTGGAAACTTTTGGAGGAAGCCATCCACCCAGAACCGGTGCCTCTTGATAGGTTGTTCGATGTCTTGGACTCTTTAATAAGCGCTATGTACGGAAAGCTTGATTGGGGCTACAAAGAATGCTGTCCGCCAGACGGCTGCGCTGTGAAGCAGTCATTCCCATGGGAGGGAGTCGCTGACAGTAGGCAAGTGACGGCGCCCCCTTTCTCATCGGATCCATTTTCCATCGACGTTGATCAGATATTGAGCCGAAGGTTTGGAACTTGTGAAGTCCCTGCCCCCCCGGCCAACATTTCATCTGGTCCAATATCGAGAAACGATCCATTCCTTTCACTTCCGGAAGAGCTTTGCACTGCAATTGCCTTCTATCTGCCTACACAGGATGCTCTTCACGCCCGCCTCGCATCACGGTCCTTTTGGCATCTATTTGATTGTCAACAATTCTGGGCATCCCGATTCATAGGTCGAAACTCAGACCTCTCATGGCTATTTGAAGTTCGTCGGCATCCCTACAGAGGTGCTCGCGATTGGCGCTGGCTGTACCACCAAATCACTGACAAGGACAATAACTGGAATGAGCTGATCCGGGGCGCTCTTCACAACAGGCAACACATTTGGCTTTCCGTTCTGCCCATTGTGGAAATTTTGGAGCTTCGTTTAACCCCAAAGGTCGCGGTTGCAGAAGGGGATGAGCAGGTGGTTCCAAAACCCGGCTTCAATTTACGAGTTGGTGGGACGGCAGCGGAGCACTCTGATATATGGAGCCCGCTAAAACCTGGATGTCGCCGTCGATACAAGCAGTACCTGCCCATTCCTCAGGAAAGGGCCCGAATTTCCGCCTCGACGATAACGGCTGGATCCTTCACGTATATTGCGGGCTTATCAGTCGTATCAGACTCACAAACTGTCAAGGTCGGCTACATTGGTCCCAAGGAAAAGGAGCGATCTATCGAACTGGATGCCTCTAAGCTAAGAGTTTTCAACGTTGCTGTCGGGTTACGAGGTATCCACGCTCTACTGTTTGCGGACTCAACAAGCTCAGCCCCCTGGCTTGGTGATCCCGATGATGCTGCAATAACAACACGGCTTGGGAATGTAGCAGATATTGCAGCACTGGAAGTTTGGTCCGACGTATGTGAAAAAATCCTATGGAAGATGCAGAGCTAACAAGGTGCTATAGGGATTCAGACTTGTCGAAATTGCGATTGTCAAGAAAGAAGACGCTGACTGTAGCGACGTGGAGAACAACATCATCTTGAGAAACTCCGCAGTATGGTATCCTGATATACCACCGGCTCACCTCAACCTCAACGAAGAGTTCTTTTTTCCTGCCCAGTCATACACTCAAGGATTCAAGCCGCTATTCTGGACCCATTTCGGCGGACCAGGAGGTATATACTTAAAGGACTTGCATAGGATATCATGGAGTACGGCAGACGAGATCATGGCTTTTGAGTTTCAAAAGGAGGACGTTCCATTGGACTGTCGGATGTTTGGTCGGGCTCCGCTGCCTGACTCAGACGACGAGGACAATCTCGATATCTTTGATATCGATGGCCCTGGAGGGGAAAGGATCACCGCTATTGAAATCAGTCAAAAATACTATAAGGAAGATGGTGAAAGATGGTTGATGTCGGAGGGAGCATTAGCGCTGTTCAAGGTATGTTGCACACCTGCAGCCACTGCCCATTCCACCTTATTAGGGAGTGTCAACACAGACAGCAACCGGGCTGACGAATGGTCTCAAGCTAACAGAAGAATGAACCATTAGGTCTTCACCAACCGTGGACGGTACTACCAGTTTGAGGACGAACCGAAGCCACGGAGTTGGAACGTCAAGACGAAGCTGTTCACATCACCTCCAGGTTACATTATTACGGGATTCTATGGGGCTCAGTTTCAGGGGCTTGTAGCGCTGGGAGTCATTACTGAGTTGGAACCTTGACAGCGAGCGTTTGTCGAAGCACTATTCTCACGGCTAGGGGATTCTGGGTTCACTCCCCGCTTGCGTGCGAAATAGAAGCATACCTACGTAGAGAAGCTTTGGAAGTCCTTCGGCACCTCTCCCAACTAGTTTTCGCTATTTTATCTATCAAGATGCGCGGGTACTGAAACCAATGGAGTCCTGACGTGTTCCCAGTCTTTTAAACAAGAATGCATCGATGCCTTGCTGTAACTGTGACAAGGGCTGGAGTTCAGGGCTTGGAACAACATAGGTTCAATTCATTTCAATAATCTTCAGTGGCCTCAAGATCCTTGATGAGGAATCCTTTCGTCCCACTGCTCTGCTCTTCTGCTCATGTATTTATCTCAAAGAGGTCCGTGCTTGTGATAGCCTTGGCCATCTTCTAAGTCCGGCGCTTCCCTCTGATTATACACGAGTCAATAATGCCTCTGCTGCTTGCGCCGGTAACCCGTCGCTCATTTCACTTTTCAACAACCGGCTCAGAGCTTTCAGTTCACTGTGTTGTTGGTTGTGCTCCAAGCCAAGGTGGATAACGTGTGACAGGCTCCTATCTATCTCCCTGAGTTGCAGCTCCTCGAACATATATTTGGCGCGATCCAGGCCATGTCTATCAAGGACCTCGTCAGTCTTATTAATCCTAACGACAGAAGGCTTGGATGTAGGAGAGAGGCCTGAACATCTGATTGAAATGCCAAGTTAAGAGGTTGATGTTACGGCTTGGTGGTGAAGGACAGGATTACTCAGGATGAAGGGTTAGGGTTGATTGCAAGACCCGGAGCTCTGACCGGGGTTTATGATAAGAAGATGGAGCTGCAAGCCCACACTTCTTCCTTTCTTCTTTATATTACGATTACATTGATAGACTGGCAATGGTATTGGCCTTTGACCTACTTATGCCTCTCATTCGTGACAGTTGAGGAGTACCGTTGGTAGAGCGAGACATTATCATCTCTCCTTTGAAGGATATTGTCAAAGGATAAGGTGCGGGCGCCTATCCCAAAGTCTAACTAGATACGTATATGAGCCTGTGGACGGTGGAAAAATTCTGTAATCTAATACTAGTCCCACAGTGTACAGAAGTCTGGCTAGGGCCCGGTACCTAGTCTTGGATGAAAAGTATTAGCTTCAAATTGAAGTGGATTCCTAATTCGAACACGCCCATAGTCAGGCGATAGCAGGTCTTTATTGTAGGTCTCAAAGCCGTCTCACCGAGACGAGTCTGGCAACAAATGTGCAACAGGGTACGCTGGGATACGCTGATTGGTCTGCCCCAGACAAACCAGGTAGCTACCATAACCATTACAACAACACTAAAAATCTTAACACCTCCCCGGCCATCTGCCGATTCGGCCTTGTAGGTCCCGAATCATCCATTCCTTCTTAGGCTGCCTCGACTGTAAACGAACTTTTCATCCTAGCTACTCTTGGGCAGTCTGTTCAACCCCGCTTGTGTGATGTGATGAGGTATGTGGTTTGGTGAAGCAGAGAAGTGAAGGAGCCGAGCTGACTGGGAAGAATGAGCATGTGGACTCAAGCTTGCTAGCTTGGTCACCCCGTGGCCCTCACAACTCATTATCGACATACAGACTACCTTCTCAGCCCCCTTCATCATGAGCAGTGCCAGTTCCCCATCTGCACACACCACGGTACAGACAGGGTGAGGCAAGGAAGAGGAGTACCATAATGTTTCAGACGCGGAGATTATCTTCCAAACAAAAACAATCCCCGGCTTGGACGTCTCGGTGCAGTTGACTCTTGCGCTTTGAGGGTCTGCAAATCGACATGTGACTGGGGAAATGCACCAGTCTTGCCCTTGCTATTTGTCCCATACCAGCACCAGTAATCCGCATAAAGACCTGTAGCACGCTAGTTAGATCGAATCCAAAATCGTGACGTATGATCGCGCTGCAGAACTTCAACCTACACTGGACATTTGTGATGACCTCGCCTTTCCCAAACGCCACCCAAGCTACACCGCCGGATTTGGGAGGAGTCCACTTCCACCGCGTGGTCACAATCATCCCACTCTCCCCACCCACAGGAACCTCACTCTCCTGCGGCGCCCGGAGCTCAATCACCTTCGACGGGACAGCCCCAAACATTCCGTCATGTCTCCCCAGACACCACTTGCCCTCGCACTTCTCGGGGAACATGACCCCCATGATCCTCGCCCCTTCCATAAACTCAAGCATCTCACCATCATACCTCGGCGGCTTCTCGAGCTTCCCTCGCCCATGACGTCGAAAGTGGTCTTTGATTGCAATAGCCGTCGCCAACCGGGTGACGTTGTCCGGCATGGGTACGGGCACAGGGCCGTCGGGCAGGTGCAGGTCAAAATCGGGCTGTTCTGGCTCGGGTCCATAAGCAAACGTTCACCCCAGGTATTTGAGGTAATGGCTGCGGGTGTCGGGATAAATGCTGCAGGAGGTCGTCCGCTGACCGGAAGACAGTCGCGTCGCTCTCCCGCACTGTCACAGCCGCACTCACGCACCACAGGCAAGCGTAGTAATCGTCTGCGCTTCCGCCTGATGCGCCCTTGCCGAGGTGGGATTTGAAGAGTAATCGGAGTCGATATCGAGCTCCGGATTCAGAGGGGGTGATTGCTTCGGCTATCATACGACCATAGCAGAGGTTAGCCGCTAATGTTCTTTTTCTGCTTGCCTTCTTCAATGCTTTGTACGTGGTACATGCAAGCTTAGATATCCCTGATACCCAACTCGCACAGGACAGCGTGGTGACTTGTTGCCACGAGGCTCCCGGCACACCTATATCCTAGCATCCGAACTCTTAACAGTATCACACCCGTCGCACAGCCCCACGTTACGCCCGTGTCCATACTTCACCAAACCACACGACACTCTGTGGACGTCCATGAAGCGGTAACACCTTGCTGGCCTGGTACGACTATCCACAGCACGAAACTTCCCCAAGGTCATTGGAGCCTGCTTCCGTTTCGCCTTCAAGCATACTCCTGACCGAGCCTCCCCGGCTGACCACCAAAACACATGTATATGAACCCTCCTTTTCCCCTCCATATACCCCTACCTTCAACCATCACAGCAAACAAGTCTACAATCTGTTCAGACACAAAATCACATTTCCCGTAAGCAACCCAACATCTTCCACCGCACAAGTAAAGCTCGAGTTAAACCATCAACAGAAACAACGACCGCACAACCAGCAATGTTCACCATTGAGCGCGGCAAAAAATCAGGGGCCATCGAAGCCCCCAAGCGAAGCGGCGCACCTGAGCCTACGAAACGGAGCGGAGCTCTTGAACCCCTCAAGAGAAGTGGCGCCCTTGAGCCTCCCAAGAAGAGCGGACACGGAGACGGCAAGAAGGTCGATGGGGCTATTGAGCGACCCCCCGAGAAGACTTGAGCCTGGCAGAGACTCCATCATGGACCTTCCGGATAGTAAGACCTGGCCGTGTTGTATTGGCATGTTCCTGGTGCTGGGGTGTTTCCAAATGCTCATACCTCGCTGCTGCAGAGGCAAAGGCAAAACGGGCAAGACTGTTTTCGATGACCTCTTCTGCTTTTAATTGAGTTCATCCTTCATAAAGAGTACTGTCAACTTTGTTGCTGAGATGTGATCGCTATGTACAAAATTATTACTGATATACTATGATCAAACAAACGCCTACATACCCTAGTGTATTGAGAAAGCAACCGGACAAAGCCTCCCATCTCCATCATGAACCACCACCAATCGATCATCATTACCATCAAAAGCATCACAACTCCATCATTACCCACCATCATTAGTCCTCATCACGTCCAAAGGCCTCGCCATAAATCTCATACAAACTATCCAACCAATGCCCCAAAATATCCACCGCCTCCCTAGCATGTTTGACTTCGACATTGCTCCCCTCTTGCTCTGACTGTGCAAGCTGCTCTTTACAGCTCTCCATCACACCCTCATAAGCCTCGATCAACAACAAAACCTGCAGCTTCGCAGCTTGTGAATCCTCATCGACACCATCCTGTTTGGCAAACAACGCCTTCTTCAGCTCGTCAGTGAGCATATGCGTGCAAATTTGCAACGCCAGAGAGCTCTTGGTGTTGTCCCCTTTTGTAACTTTAAACCGCGGTGAAGGAGGCCTTGGTCGCCTCGGGGAGGCAGGATTACTGCTCGCTGCGACTGACGGGGACTGTTGCAATGCACGACTCTGGTTGATGGCTTGAACCTTCCGTTGAGGAGCCTGAGGCGGAATGGCAGGCGCTGTGGCCTCGTCTTCGGAACTCCGTTCGCTATTTTCCACAACGGTAAACGAAGATGCTGCTGACTGGGGCTCAACGACTGAATCTATCTGCGCAATGAAGGAGTGGTGCTGAGGTGAGGATGGCACCTCAACGATGACTTGCTTGGCGACTGTTGACTGCCGGCATACCGACTGATTGGTGGGGTGCCGGCAGAGTGGAATATGGGGGCATTGTTCAGAGGGACTCTTTGGCAGAGAGAGGTTATCTTCCGATTCGATGATTTGTTCCATGGCATCAAAGTCGGGAAGTATTGATCGATACGAGTCAGCGAGTATCGAAGCTCGGTCGTAAACCGGGGATTTCGGAGTTGGCTGCGGGGTGAGCGTTGGGTGGATGTTGGGGACGAGTTTGAAGGTTGGTGACTCTTGTTGTGGGAGAAAGTGAACCCGTGAGGTATTCTGAGGCATACATTTCGATAGAGGCCGCGGCTTTTCCTTGACCTTCGTTGACGACGTTTCACTGCCACCATGGCATGGCCCGTTGGAAGATCCCATAGACAGTGTCAAGGTCTCATATATGGGTAAGCATGGCAGCTCGGGGATGTTGGCGGAAGCGCGTGGGTGGCGCTGGGACCGTGGGTTGCTTTCGAAGGAGACATGGTTTCCCATGGGGCTGCTCAATTCCTGGACAGCTTCGATGTTTCTTTCTGTGAGACGAGCAAAAGATTTCTTCCTCAATCGTTTCTTGGACACATTGGCCGGAAGTGACTCGGTCGGGGTTTTTGCATCTCGATTTCTGAACAAGGCGAGCAGAGACATCCCGGCCGGTGTCGTTGTGCTGTGGCAAGGGGCAACGTGGATGTTATCGAACGGCTAAAAAAGTGGTTGGACTGTTGGTGTACATGGTGCCATGGGTGTCTGGGTGATGAAGAGGGGGCCCTGCTGTTTTTGTTCCGTCATCAGCGGGTCTTCAGAGGTCAAAATTGATGATATCGCCATCATCGTATGCCCGTGCCGGGCTTCGAGACTGCGGGTGCTAATGCTGAGCAAAACGTTTGGCCAGTAGCTCCCATCTTGACATGCGGGGAAACAAGCTAAGTCAAGCGCAGGCAGTCGCTTCGGTGTTGACGTTTCAAGGGCCGGCCTCGAAGTCAATTCGGGCCATCACTCCGAGCCCGAGAGGGTTGGCTAGACGGCAATCATGCACGTCATTTCGTTCTTCTTTGGCGATCCTTCATAGATTGAAAAACAAGGCGGTGCCGGTGGGTAAAAGATTTTATTAGGTTCAATCATCCTCTGTCAAGAGTTTTGAAAACTGCATGATGTTTGATGTCGAGTCCATGGAGACGTTGGCAAATCGGGCGGGGTGTTCCGGTGGCTCGTTCGTCGATTGATGCCCCATAACTTGGAAGCAGGGGGCGCTAGCATTAGTGAGATTAGCGAGCACGCCACGAAGCTCGGGCCACCGCTTAGTTGATCCTCACTGCTCCATTTTCCAGTTCCCGTCCTCATGCCTTTCCAGCTTTCCAGAGTTTCCGAAGTGCCCGTTTACATCACAGGTCGCATGCCTACCCGAGCTCCTGCCCGAAACACCGCCGCAATTATCCAACTAAGGCTTCTCCGATATTGCTCTACAATTCAAGGTCGAAACCTGCCCACCGAAATTTCAACAAATGCATTGTCATACTTGGACCCACAGTGTGGACAGAGGGCCTTTGTGTTCGACAGTGACATTGTCCTTTAATTGTCTTGATGTCGGAGTCTTTGTCTTGAAGTAAGACTATCAGATATAACATCGCCCAGTCTGCCTCCATAAACTGGCTACCTCCTACTAACTCATTCACCAAGCGCCGCCAGATACGGTAAGTCTTTCAACATAACAAGGTAACAGCACAACAGATCTTCTCAAAATGGCCGACTCTAACCAGATGGACAGCCGTCAAGACATCATCCCAGAAACCGAATCCCACGAGTACCCTCCAGGCTGGCCCATTCCCAAACTTCAAAACTTCGTCGTCACCGTCAACCTTGACTGTCGCATTGACCTCAACTACCTAGCCCAACGGGCCCGCAATGTCGAATACAGACCGCGTCGCTTCAATGCTGTGATCATGCGCATCCGCGATCCACGAACGACAGCACTGATCTTCGCAACGGGCAGAATGGTTGTCACAGGTGCCAAGAGCGAAGCCCTGGCTCGCCTTGCCGCTAAGAAACACACTTACGCCCTCCAGAAATGTGGCTTCACTCCGAAATTCCGCGACTTCACTGTCCAGAATATCATTGGCAGTGCCAATGTTGGCTTCAACATCAGACTTGAGGGGTTAGCCAACAAGTATGTCACTGTTGGCGCCTCTTTTGTCCCCGAGATTTTCCCAGGCTTGTCTTTCAAGCAGTATCTCGGCTATCGAGCAGATGGGACACCTCGCTCCTGTCCAACCCTTCTCATTTTTACAACCGGAAAGATCGTGGTCACCGGTGCCAAGACAGAAGAGGATTTTAGGGCCGCCTTTGCTCGGGTATATCCTCTGTTCTTTGACTTTCGCTTTGCCAGCGACCCAAACAGCAAAACACAGGTGTAGCAAGTGAGCACGCCAACTCTACACTAATATCTGTACTATGCACATAGAAACAATCTTCAGGCATCACTGGCGGGCCAGTGGCTGCTTACTACTAATTTCAAATCTCACCTTGCCATAATGATAGAGGCAAGATAACCTAGACAAAGTAAGATACCCAGGCAAAACCCAAAAATAGACTAATGTTTTAATCCACTCCCGTTCCATTGTTCCCTCTGTTTACTGACCCTCTCGCATGACAAAGCCTTTGATATCCTTCTTAACTAAGCAGCATTGCTCCTTATTCCGAACACCGACACCTGAACCACCCCCTGCTCTTCGGTCACACCTGTCCCGGTCCCCACGTAACACCGTTGCATCCCGTCACCCTCCCGCGTTCCCCAAAATCCGCCGTCGGCCGGGCACGGCAGGGCAGACAAGCCAACCCCGCATACGTCGGAGGAAACAACTCCAAACAGTTGACTTGGCATGTCGGTACATAGGTGCCATTTAGGCGATACTTGGTAGTTAGCGATTTGATTCGCGGGATCGGTTCTCTAACAAAAATATGCCCGACCTGTAGGATCGTCACGTTATCGAGGTGCAAGATGCCTTACCTACAAGGCAGGATTTGAGCTCGCAACGTATGGTGGAGGATCCGCTTGTTGATCAGGAAGGGGAAGATGATACGGCAGGATGGGGGGAATGCATGTACCATACCCGGCTGCCGGGTAGTTGGAGATTGTTGGGGGTGATGAGGTATAAGTAATTGATGACCCTGCCGTGAAGTTTTCGTTCTACCGGATATCCTCACCACAGCAGAGCAAGACAGAGAGCAGCAACGACCATCACGAAGATGGCCATCATCGGCGCCAAAGAAGAACATGCCGACCCTCGGCTCACCCGCATTGCGCAGGCGGATGACATCCCCTGGTACAAGAAACCCAACCTTCGCTTTCTGTATCTGATTCTTGTGCCGACTGGCCTCGGGGTGGAATGGACCTCTGGGTTTGACAGCTCGATGATGAACAGTCTCCAGGCTGTCAAATCATGGACTGACTGTACGTTACCTCTTATCCCCTCTCCGCATCCCTTACACTGACGCGGTGACCCCCCGATAGACTTTGACAACCCAACCTCCTCCCGCCTCGGCCTCCTCAACGCAATGTATTCCCTCGGCGCCCTCATGGCAATCCCCTTCATCCCCACCATCTCCCAGTACCTCGGCCGCCGCCGCACAATCCTCATGGCCTCCCTCATAATGTGCATGGGCGCCGGCCTCCAAGCAGGCGCCCGCAACAGCGACATGTTCCTCGCCTCCCGCTGGGTCCTCGGCTTCGGCATCCCCTTCGCAATCGTAAACGCCTCCTCCATGATCGGTGAACTCTCCTACGCCAACGAACGCGCGGTAATGACATCCCTCTTCAACGCATCCTGGTTCGTCGGCGCCATCATCGCAGCAGGGACAACCTACGGCACCTTTCAAATGGAATCAACCTGGGCCTGGCGTCTCCCCAGCCTGTTGCAACTCGTCCCGAGCGCGTTCCAACTCGGCTTCATGCACTGGTGCCCCGAGTCACCCCGCTGGCTCGTCAGCCAAGACCGCGGTGAGGAAGCGTTTGCCATTCTGCAAAAATACCACTCTGAGGGTAAAGACGGGGACGAGTTTGTCAGATTGGAATACGCGCAAATTCAATCTACCATCGCGGCGGAGAAAGAACTTGCCTCGCGGTTTGTGTGGGGGGATGTCTTCCGTGACGCTGCCATGAGACGTCGTTTCCTCCTCGCAGCGGTAGTCGGGTTTTTCACGCAGTGGTCAGGGAATGGGTTGTTGAGTTTCTACATGAAGAAGATTCTGGCGTTGGTGAACATTACGGATAATAGGACGGTGCAGCAGGTTATTCTGAGCAATACTTGCTGGGGGTTTATCAATGCTGTGCCGATTGCGTTGATCGCGCCGAGGTTTCCGAGGAGGAGGATGTTTCTGATTTGCACGATTGGGACGGCGGTGGTGTATGTTGTTTGGACTATTGCGAGCGCGAGGGCGACGATTGAGAATAGTAGCGCTGCGGCCATACCGGTGCTGGTGTTTATTTTTGTTTATTCGCCGTGAGTATTTTTGTATCCTGACATGGGAGATTTGACTGACATTAGGGGTAGGTTCTACAACATTGGTTGGAACGCCCTGGCATACACGTACATGGTTGAGATCTTCCCTTATCAACAACGCGCAAAGGGTATCGCGGTTGAGCAGTTGACGGTCCGATTTGCGGTCTTCTTCAACACATATGTCAACCCCATTGCGTTAGACGCCATTGGATGGAAGTACTACATTGTGTACTGCGTCTGGATTCTGATCGAGATTGCTACGGTGTATCTTCTCTTCCCTGAGACACACAATCGCACACTTGAGGAACTCAGCTTCATGTTTGAGGGCAAGGAGATGCAGGACAAGATTCAGAAGAACGTGGACAAGGTGCTCGATGTGGAACTGGAAGGGGTGAAGAGGAGGTCGTCGAAGGATGGAATTCAAGCTACTGACCAGAGAGTGTAGGTAATCTCTGAGTCAATGCACTGTGACACGGCAATGGGATTGTATTGAAGCAACAGCGTTCAAGAGTGTGTCAAAATTAATCCCACGTTATACCACGCCAACAGCGTACCTTTCCGGGCATACATTCTTCCTCCCAATGATTCCCAGAGGCTTGGTCAGAGAAGTGGTGATGGTTAACAGTCAAACCTGTCTCCCCCCCCCCCGGCCCCCCACACCCAAGATCTTCAATTCCAAGTCCTTTGTCGTTTCGGGAGTACGTTGATCCCGGCCGCAGAGCAACAGTCTCGGATGTCCGTGTTCCGCGTGCTGCGTATTACTTACTGGGTTCATTGAGACTGTACACCTTACTCTCCTGTCACAGGTCGTAGGTAATGAAACCGCAGTCCAATGGCCCTTGTTCTCCTTGCTCCTTTGGCATCGGCATCAAGTAAAATTTCGTCCCGCCATACAATGCCGCAAAACTGACGTCACATAAGAGTGTGCATCCATCGAAAAGTCTCGTCGTGAAGGAACAACTCAGTCATTGATCCTCCAAAATAGCCGAAGCTTTTCAAAGGTGCCTGCTGCATCCAGGGGCAGAGATCCAGTTCCGGACGGCTGAAAAAGGAAGGCGACGCAGGGATGAATATGTGTTTTTGCTCCCCTGTTGGATGCTTATCGTCTGAGTTCGGGTACGGGAGCAGTCGCCACGGATAGTTATCTTCCGAGTCCAGCAAATTGACTTCAGCGTTCTCGTCGTCATGAACAATGATGTTGACCGACTCCAGGGAAGGGAGGCAGGCGGTGACTAGCAGATCTTCTATCTGCCGGGAGCCGAAAGCATGGTGGTTAACAGCGGGCTAAGAGCAGCTATAACACACTGTCGCCTCATAATCATTGGAGTTACTGTCCCACCAATAGACGGCGGGGCCGCCTTTTAGTGATATAGTCGCGAATTCCTCCTCGTAAGATACCTGGACGCACCTCCAGTCCCGGCATTGAGTCTCACCTGGCTCAGGTCCCTCATCCTGTTCATATGCCCAAAGGCGAAAAGCAAGCTGACGAACCCCAATGAGAAGGTTAGAGCCAGGGAGCACAAGTGGTGGTATCCTGAAAAGGTCTCCGAAGTGATCCTCTATCACAAGTGCTTGTCTTACACAGGCCACGTCTCCGGGGTAATTCTCGTAGGCGCGAACTAACACCTCGAGGAGGAATATGTCGTTCTCGGTATTCGCGAAAACTGTTTGGTTATTGTATAAGTGAAAGGGTAATGTGCTTTGGTGAGCCTGATGCAGTCTTTCGACAAGTCTTTTCGCAGTAAGACATACACTTGCAACTTCTTGCAACTGACAGTAACGAGACCCAAACCAGGAGGGGAGATCTGAGGGTGTCACCATGTTCTGATATTGGTCGAACGTCATGAAAAGTATTCGCTTTCGGAGAGACTTTCTGAACCGGATACCATCTCGAAATCGGCGATGGGTGAGGAACAGGAATCGCGCGACGGGTCGACGGACATTGTTGAAGAATTGGCACAGGGCGTCGGTGGCCTCTTGATGCTTCTTCTCTTTTCGCTGACTGAACAAGGGCTACAAACTGGTTAGAAAGGCAGCAAAGAAGTGGATAGTAGGGACATCCAGAGTCCTTTCATGGCTATGAGCTCCTCAAACATGCAAAACTGTATGTCAGGGGGGAGTTTGACGAAGTATTCGAAGGTCGTGATGGTAGGAGGAGTAACATCTTCAGCTGGGTCGGGGTTGTTGTTGCTCGTGGTGGCTGAAAAAGAGTCGATTGAGCCAGAAACAGCCATGGGAATGGCGGGCGTCGGGCATAGAGCAAAAGAGTAGGTAGGTTCAGGAAACTACGCTGGTGTTGGGCCTCGGGTTTGCTAACGCCTCGTAGGAAGTCGCTTAGGACGAGGACAGATAACACAGAGGTTGATGAACGCAAGTGTGGGAAGAAGACTGCGGCAAAATGTCGTAGGCTACCTACCACGTGGAGACATCATGTGATCCATTGTCATGTCAACTGTCGAATGCTTTCCGGATAAACGAACATATTGCACCAGAAAGGGCGGAAACTGGGGGCGGATGACGTGGTCATCTCAGGAATGATCGTTTGCCATGTTGTCTAGGTATATTTCCTGACCGCTGACATCCCAAGTCCACGATGCTCAAAGTACCCCGGTATAGACACGCTGTTTGTGCAAAATATGAACTCCGCCAAATGCAAAATTAACCATCAATCTTCTTCTCCACCCACCGTTTCAGATCCATCTTCCACCGAACATCTCCGTTATGCTACTCGGTTGAACGGCGGGGCTTTCCTTGAGGCTGATTAATAACACACAAGTGAATGGTCAGAAAGAATGGCTCCTCCGGTGATCTCTCTACTGGTAATACGAACAAGATATTGCAGTTTCGAAAAAGAGAAGACAGTTGGTACGCGTTGTGGAGGGTTACTACCACTGGAGGCCACCGCCTTCGCATCACTCTTGGTTTTGCGAAAATACGGCGAAAACACACTCCGAGCCCACAAACCGAGCCCACACACCGAGCCGACCAGAGCCTGCAAAGTAAACGTGGAAAGTGACATGGAAAGATGATAGTGTGTCGGCTATGGAGAAGGCATTGATATTAGTCCGACTGCAAGTCTCCTCCGCAACTTCCATACGAGTGGACTTTGAGACAGGCTTTCTCTTATTGTGGTACCATATTGTATGCATAACTTGCCTTGGGGTTAGTTAAATGCGGACCAGACACCAAGGCCTTCAGCTTTGATGAAAAGAGAAGGCTTTCTCAAGTGGAGGGGAGAAATTCGATGGCAAAGTTTGCTGGAGACTTAATCATTGAAACCCTGTCTATTTCTATGCCGCGGCCATCTTCAACCCCACCTGCAATGCTCCAGCAAACCCCATTAATCATACTCTTCCCAAGTTAGTACAAGCCACCAGGGCCGGAAGATTGACATCTCCCCCTTCAATCCATACGACGATCCCTCGATCTCTAATCCACAGCCTATCGACGCTTTCATTGTCGCCTCTTCTTGGGTGTACCATGCGGCTTCAGATCCGTCTTCCAAGGAAGTAAGTCCGACCCCTCTGGCACCCATCTGAGGTATCTGAAGCTCAGATGGGGAATTTTGTCTTTCCACACCTTGAGAAGCTGACTGTCCATAGGAAACGATGCTGCCCAATCCAGATCGAAAAATGGCACTGTGACGAAAGCGTGAAGCAAGACGTGGAAGTCAATAGGAGCAAACAGCTCGACCAAGGATCCTCCGATAGACTGAAAGGTTTGTGGAGGCTCAGCCCCCACTGTGCTGAATCGTGAGCTTTTGCGATTTCCTCTATGTCGGTACATTGCTGTAGCGGTCGTCACCCAACTATCTCCGAACACCAAGGCTGGTTCTTGCGGGCTCGGACCTGCCAGGGCCCGCCAGGGGGCGTAATCAGAGCCGAGTGAACCCGGCGGTGGAATCTCGTTACGAACAACATAGTGTATGCTTTGGAGGGCAGGAAGCCAAGCGGCAGCCAGTAGTACGTATTCCTCCGGCCAGGTGACCTTGAAATGTCCTCCCATAACGCGACCGCACCTGTCACAGGGCACCTTCTTAAGCCAATCGCTGGAATCGTAATCTTCCGAATCGCTTTCCGAGCAAGAGCTATCAATGTAATCCACCAGATCACGTTGCCGTTTCGGCTGGAAATGCCACCCTAGACACCCGCCATCGGTCAGCTTTGACACCCAGCCCGGCACAGCCAAGCGGCGGACGCCCTTGAGAAGATCTGCACCATGAACCATGGGGACCGGACTTATCAGACAGTCCGTCAGCTCTTCGTTGATGGTGTTCGCCGATCTGAGATGCAAAACACGGTCTGAGCGGGGCTTCTTTGACAGGACGAGGATGTCGAAATAGAACAAGTCATCCTCTTCGTTGACGAGAATAGACCTGCCACCGTGCAGGCCAACTGGCGTCTTGTTTTGTTGGTGAGTTCGGACTACACGCGTTGCGAGCGAACATGTTTGGGCAATTTGCGGGAGACGAATGTGATGAGGGATGGCGTTTGGGATATACTCTCGTCCGCGCCGATCTGTGCGCTTGAAACTTCCGAGAAGGCTCATGGTATCATGAGTTACAAAGTCGATGCCCTGTGCAAAGTTATGCCTGAGCCCTGTATCCATCCTCTCGTCTGGGTCAGAGCTGAACAGTGCCTTTGCCAACGTTCTGGGGAAACCGGTTAGGAAGTGCACTGCTGGGCCACGTCCTAGGCCTTCTAGGTCGAGCAATTGTTCGAAGACGCACCACTGTATCTCGGCGGGGAATTGACTGAACAGCTCAAAGGTCGCGGTTGGTTTAGTGGTAGAGCTGAAAGATGTGTTGTCCATGGCGAGAGACAAAATGTCAACCATACCGGAGAGGGCATCGTCTTTTGTAGATGTTCCGTCCATCGTTGATTGTGTTGATGGCGGGTGCTCCGTGGTGGTTCGTCTTCAGAGAAGCATTTCGAGTTGGCCACGTCGAAGCAGAGGGAGGAGGTCCAGTCAAAGTATAAACAGAGGAGGGAAAGCGAAAGGAATAGCGGAAGGGCGGCAACCAGTCTGTCATGGGGTACGGCTCGTAGGTTCAGACGAAAAGACACCGAATTGAACATGCAAAAAGGCGGAATCGCAGGTCAAGACGACAGATGATCCAAGTCCCCTGCACCTCTTCAACTGCCTCGTAGTCAGCCGCATTGTCAAACAGTGGCGACCTTCTTCTGGAATGAGCACATGGACTTGGATGCTAGCGTTCGAAATTGACGACGAGGTTGAAGGATTCCATCTATACAACTCCAACCAACTCCAACTCCAAACCTTCCTTACGCCTTGGATTCCGCAAAGACAAACTCCTCCAGCTCCTTGTACGCCTTTTCCAGATCCTAGACACCCAGAACGTTAGAACCTCTCTTTGCAACCAAGACAGACTCACACCCTGAACCTACATCGTTGACAATGATCTTCTCATGCACTCCCGGCACTTTGGCATACTCGAGCTCAACCTTGGCCTGCTTTAGCCTCTTCTGGATGCTCTCCTCGCTCTCGGTGCCTCTCCCTCTCAGTCTCTGCTCCAGCGCCTGCTCGTTAGGCGGCGCAATGAAGACATACCGCGCGGGGTAGTTTTGCGCCTGGATCTGCTTCACGCCTTCGACCTCGATATCAAGCACGGTGACCTTGCCCTTGGCCTTTTGCTCTTCGATCGTCTGCTTTGAGGTACCGTAGTAGTTGTCGCCAAACTTGGCGCTATTCCGAAGGCATTAGTCAGCTTTCTTCCTCCTCTCTGTGTAGATCTTTGTGCGGCGGGCGTGTTACCTCTCGACGAACCCATCAGCTGCCTTGAGCGCCTCGAACGCCTCCTTTGTTACGAAGTGGTAGTGGACACCATCGGTCTCACCGGGGCGGGGGCCACGTGTGGTGTGCGAAACGGAAAGAGTGAATGTGTCGGGGTGGTTCTGAGTAGACGGGTCATGTCAACATCGTCGGTCTCGTGGTCTCGTGCTGGGAAACTGTTGCGCGTGGGTAGGGTAGGTCATACTTGGAACAAGCGGCCGTAGAGAGTTCCCTTTCCGACGCCGGAGGGGCCGGAGATAACGATAGGACGAGAATCAGGGACTGTTTGTCGAGGAACATCAGCGGTGTTCGTCAAGGTGCGCATGCCCCTCGAGATTTCGGATGGTTCGGAAATGGCGGGGCAGAAAACGCGGAAGGCCGGGTTCAGCGCTATCAGGGCAAGAAGACGAGGAGAGGAACTGACCTGGAGCCATTGTATGTACAAAGCGTGAACGAAGGACGTTGAACGAAGATCGGGAAAGCTGCTGCAACGGTCGCATGGTCTGGAGAAAGAAGGCGCCGTCTGGAAATTGGGCCACTCTGACGAGGGTTCTGCCCAGGCACAAAGTTTGGCGTGCATAACTGCCCCACTCAATTGGCTTTCAGGGTCTGACTGTTCCTGAATGACGACACCCATGACTTTGAGGATGACATTGTGGTATCTGAGTCACAGGCACCTCACTTTTCTGCTTTAATGCGATTACATAACATAAGGGTTCGTTGATAGATTAAACATCGTACGCATTGTCAGCAAGCCAGAGTACATCTGACCCAATCTCGCCCAACCCTACCCCTAACCCTCTCCGCCAACCCCCCAACCTTACGCCTTCTTCTCCTCCCCCTCCCCCTCCCCCTTCTTCTTATCCACCATATCATCCGGATACTTCTCCCAGGCCTCCCAATTCCCACAAAGATTCATCCTAGCACTCCTCGTCCAGATGTGCCTCGCCCCCATCCCCTCCCAATTCAGCCCTCCTTCCTCAGGCCAGTCATCAAACGTCCCCGCCTTGAAGCTCATCATCTCCCTCCAGCTCCCATCTGGCAGAATTCCCTGGTGCATAATCCTCACGCCGCACTTGGGACAGAAATAACATCTCATTGTGTTCCCGCTGTCAGTCCCGTGCTCAAACACTGACAACTTCGCCTCCAAGTCCACGGGTAAGGGAAAGACTTGGTCGGTGGGGTAATAAACAGAGGTTCCAAACGCCGAGCCTGATTGTTTTTGACATGTTCGGCAGTGGCAATGTGCCATGCCGGAGGGGGTGCGGGAGGGGGTCGTCATAGTTATGTAGCCGCATTCGCACGAGAGCGTGAAGCCTTTTCCTTGCTCTTGGGATTTGTCTGGGGAGGCCATGATTGCTGATGTTGATGTTGGTGAGGGTTTGGTGATGCTCAGCGGTGTATGGGCCGATTTCTAGCAGGCCTTATTATATCGAGCCCAGGAAACGACGATGAATTACGCAAGCGGCTCAAACAGGAAGATAAACACCGTTTGCGTTAGGTGAGCATTCTGCTCGAGTTCAGCAAAGGGCGCGTCAGATAAAGAGCCGTGTGTCACAACGTTACGGCTTGGCGGGCATAGCGCGGAGCAAAAGGGGCAAATGCGGGGGGACTGGTATCACGTCATTGGGAATAGTCTCACTTCGGGCAAAGCGATATATTGCTGGCAGTCTTCAAGCGTTCTGTGGGGGAGACGGGTTCTCTGCGGTATCTCCAAAGATCATCTAAACAAATGCATCCCGTAATATATATATACGCCCAATAAACAACACAAAAGAGCTGGCTGGTATCCATCTACCCATAAAGCAACCTCCTGAACACCTTTTATAACCCGATATGCCCCTAGCAACCTGCGTCACAGACCTTTAAAATGTTCCAACGCATCCCTAGCCCAACGATAGATAATGTCCTGACGATCCAGAGAGGTGACGAAGTCATGTGCAGATGCATGCCCGAGCTTGATGACGCCGGCCCAGGTCTCCCACGCCCATCCAAGTTCCGATGATGCCCACTTGAACGGCCCATACTCCTTCTTCCAATGACTAAAGACCTCCCAATACACTCTAAACGCCCGCCCAAGCTTCGATAATGCCCGCTTGGGTCTTCAAAACGCCGGTCCAAGTTTCGATAATGCCCACTTGGATGGCCCGTATGCCTCTTGCGGTCGCGGACAGGACTTTCAAAATAACCTCCAATGCATCAACGCTGACCCAGCCTTCGATAATGCGCAATCGGATGCTGATCATGCCCGCCAATGGTGTCGTTTGCATTTGTCTGCGCCTCGCCGAGTTTCAATAATGCCCACTCGGTTAGTGATGACGCCTGTTGGGTGTTGGGAAAGGCATAAAGCCTATGGCGAGCTCCTCCCACGACGACCCGGATGCTTAGTAGCGAAAGATTTGAGCCGTCCGCTAAACGCCTCGATATCTTCAGCCTCGGCCCCAACAACACCGGTGCCCTTCTCCCTCCGCTTCCCAAGCAAACTCCCAGCCATCTCCTCCACATTGATATCAAGGAAAGCCGGTCTGTGGCGATCCCTGCCCTCGGAATCAACCTCCTCCAAGACTACAATCTTCTGCTGCCCATACCAGGTATGCCATATTTGGCCAACCGCCTGCACCATCCACACCACCGTCATGACCACGGCCCACAACAGCGCGAAAAACACCATAAACCCAGCAACAGTGAGTTTATCGCCCACCTCGCCAACCACCCACTCCACCAACTGCTTGAACACCCCAATCCAATCTGTGCCCGTTACAGCATTGGACCCACCCCTCCGCTGCCTCAACCAGTCCACCCCCAACCTCCCAACCTTCTCCTTCATCCCAACATTTCCCAAAACCATCCCAGCAGGACTACCCCCCTGGCGCTCACGAACGGCAACTTTGGGCTTGGCCACGCCCGTCTTGCGCTCGGGCGAGCTGCTGACAAATGCGCGGACAGGCGTCGCGGGAGGGCTCACGCGTGCGGGCAAGACTCGTTCCCCTAAAAATATTAGAGTTTCTTTTTAAAAAGAAAAAGAAAAGTAACAAGAGAAAAAAGCCAGAGTCAAAAATGTGTGGGGAAACTTACAATCTTCGTCCCGAAGCAACTTCACAAAGGAGTCCCTGGGGGCAGGGATTCGCCCTCATAACCTCCACCCTCTCCCTCTGCACCCTCTCCGCGTTCTCTTTGGCCCGGGCCAGGTCAGTATGATCGGGGTTCTGGCATTCAAGACTTGTTAGTGATCCCAGGTTAGGGAAGAACAAGGGAAGATTGTGTGGTGAATGTGATGGATTGGGGTGGGCTGAAACTGAAAGATCAAACAGTCCAAGGCACAGAGCGACAATCATGTCGAAGATGTCAGTAGCTTGGGTGAAAAACTTACAACTCCAGCCGCAAACCACCACGCACCCGGGTGCCAATCGAGTGTGTGAGGGCGACCGGGGGCGCGCGAGGTGGCGAGGAAAGCATTCGACGACGACATTTCTGCTGTTTCAAATTTCGTTTGCAAACGTTCAAAATGAGGTTTGCTGGGATATCGTGATGTCAAGTGCAAGAGAAAAAAAACTCAAAGGAGAAATCCAAGCAAGTCTTAAGAAAAAGGTGGGTGGGCTTCCCCAGCGCTCCTGCCATTGTTGTGACCACGGCCCAATACTGGCAGCTCGACAATGCACTTTTTAGTGCGCTCTATTCACTATTGTCCCTCTATTGTGGAATGACCACAATAAACATGAACCCCACTTCCTCAGTATTCACGGCAGTGTCGACATCATGCTGCTATTCACGGTGATCGTCGATCCTGGCGGTTGTTATTCGAAGTCTTCCAACTCCTTCCAGTCGGCGAAGTGGCCATGATCTCGGCGCTCTTCTTTGCTTGCTCCACAAGATAATAATCCCCAAAGTCAATCTCATCCACACCATGACCATGGTAATTTCTCGACTCCGACACTTGGAGGGATGTCTGCTTCCAGATCAACCCACCTGGGCTCGTACCCTCACCATCCAGTCCGCTCTCTGGGTCGTGACGACCCTTATTGGGATTCCAAAAATACTCCTGGTGCTGAATCTCAGCCAGCTCCGTCTCGGATATCGTAAGCTCAGTAATAGGATTGACACTCCTCGGCCCCATTCCACGTCTCGGGTTCTTATCCTCAAGCCTGAACGCTCCATGCTTCGGATCTGAACGGCCAGAACGTGTCATCCTACCCGTTGTTGACTTGAGGGACTTTAGGCTTCCCAAAATTGGTCGACCCCATCTGTTAATTAGGGGAACACACATGGGAAGATTGGAAGTCACCACAGCCACAAACGTCTCCCGGACGGCCCAGGAACCTGCTTGTTGAGCGCCGTTGATGGGATCCTGCAACACCCCAGGTCAGTTACTGTCTCTTTTTTTGCACTGACGTTCTGTATAACTCACTGTAACAATCAGGATACATCGCAACACTCCTGCCACCGTCACAAATGCTCCACCAGAAAACAACACAATGAGCCCAATCTTTTTCATCGGTTTCATGGTAGCACGCCATAGCATGGGTATGGGAATGCTCATGAGGTAAATGTCTGTGGAGACATTCAACCCAAGAGTTACAAAGATGTCAATGTTGGAGATGGCCGGTTGACAGTGATCTGACATGGCGTTAGCATTCGGTGTTTTGGGTACAACAGATTGGAGACTTGCTGCCGGGATTTGGATAGATTTGCCAATTCCTCTCGAGAGGACGGCAGCCCAGCAATATTGACAGGAGGACGGCAACCCAGGTGGTGAAGATCAACACGAAGCCCGTGAAGATGCGCTTGCGATATTCCAACCCTTCCTACGCCGGTATCAGCAAGCAGTCATCGTGATGATACAGTGGCTGGTCTGTCACCCACCGTCAGGCGAAGATAGAAGGTGCATATCGCCGCCTTGATCGTCCACAGAAGAAATGTGTACGTCGACCACCCAGCAACCTGAGTTTTGGACCCGTTGACCCTGCAGTCCAATCATGAGCTACCACACTCCAGCAGGCCGTGATGTAGTCAGAACATACCTCAACCTAAACTCCTCACTGTTCGGATCAAGCAGACGTCTCTGCTCATCCGTCATCGCATTATTCGCCAACCCCTTCCATAACGCACCCACCGAGTACGCAAGATATGTTTCCACGGTATACGCGCCCTATCCCACAACACAGGTGATCAGTCCCCAACTCTCCCCATCCCCATCATCACATCTCCAAGAAGAACAAACTCACCGCAGCAACCAACATTAAATAATCATCCGCCTGAAACCCCTTAATCCCCACAGTCGTCAACCTAACATACGTCCTCATCCCAACAACCACCAACGCAACTCCCAACAAGGTAAACGCTTCAATAATAAACGCCTCCATGGTGAATCTGGCACCACTGTCCGTCAAAGCGCTCGGTAGGTAAGGTCGATATATCGATCTTGGCCCACGTGGGAAGGAAAGGGGGCGTGCAATATTTCCCAATAAGGTCGCTAAGACCTCGAAGGAGAGATAAAAAACGGCAGATTCCGTCTTTTTAACCTTCATGAAGAAAAGATGACCTCATCAACACCACCCGCCAGACAGAAGCCCACAAGTTAAAAATACAACAAAGTCCAGAACGATAAAGAAACTTCCAGCAGGACGCCCCCGGCTCGGAAAAGCAAAAGCAGATTAAGGTACCCGAGGCGTCTTCTTCTTTAAAGGAAACCAATGTAGGTAGATAACACCCCGTTCTTGCGCACCATGCTTCCGATGGGAACACAAGAAGCCTCAGGAGAAACAAAGCGCGGGCGGCCAGAGGAGCGAAGTGTATACAGCATCCACCCCGTAGGACAGCATCAGGCAAGCAGCATATCTACCTAATTACATCAAGCCCACCCCCCCCACCCCCCCCCCCCGAAATCCGATCATATCATTCCACTGCTGACCACCCCAAACCCCCTGGCAATCCAAAAAAGGGGGCCCGTTGCATTGGCTGACCACTGGCAATCCCCTACTCCCCTCCTGCTGCCAACCGTTTGTGAAACTCGTCACCGCAGATCACATTGACGGGTAGAAATACCACCAAGAAAAGAAAAAGCAATTCCCTTCTCTCTTCGGGCGCATGCAAGTTTCCCTTGGTTATAACATTAAATATGTTCGTCCTGGCTGCACGTGGTAAAGTGATCCGGTTTCACAGCAGCAAACCCGCTCAGCTGAGCGAACCAGTGGCTGCAGTGTGCCGTTAAAGAAAAAGAAAATCTCCGACGAGGCTCCGGGATGGGATGGGAAGGTAGGCCGACGGAGGTGTTGCACCGGGAGGGGATTAAAATCGAGCGAGAATATCTCCATGGAGCAACTGCTGAAGTGTTGAGAGGGGTATCTTCAACACAACGGGTTGAGCCGAACGGCCACGTGGGGACGGAGAGGTACAGTACTCTTCATCGGCAGCACCGAAGGGAAGAGCATTTCTTTGACTTGATCAATTGAAGAGATCTAAAACCCACGTGCTTGTGGACGGACGGACCGCTCAGGTCTTTCTTTGTCTGCTATGACATTGACCGGCATCTTTCCCTTTTCTTTTCTTCAGATTTCATCACCAATCTCGTCACTCTTTGTGTAGAATGTCGTAAACAACCCCACACAACGCCCGCCGCCGTTAGCCCCCCCACGTAAAAAGAAAGGAAGAATTTACTGGATGGTGGGTGTTGGACTGAAAGCAGTCAGTGATGCACGTCATCATTGCCCTGACAGGATTCTCCATGTGTCTGATGCTGGCACGGTGGCCTTGATGCCAAAATTTTGCTGTCCTTGATAATCCCTAGAGTCCTGAAGGGGCGATATCGGTTTCAACGGTAGCACAGTAAGATACCATGCATTACTTTATGATGTGTTTGCTCACCTGCAATGATATGGCAACTCTCCATTGCTGACCCCCAACCCCCCTCTCCCCCAAGAGCCTCCCGGTTGTGACACTACATGCGCTATCGAATGCGACGAGAAGGCTATTGGTTCCAGCCTCAAGAAATCTCCGCAGCAAGCTGACAATGCATTTTGGCAGCTCATGACAACCTTTACTGTACGCACCTTGATAGCATCCCCACACCATGATAAGGTATCCCCCACAAACTACAAGACTCAGAGTCTGGCCAGGCCCAAGGATCAACCACGATGAACCCCTGAAACAACCTCAAAAAAGGGGGGGTTGCACCCCGCCGATCGCAGCCAAGTTCAGGCGCAAAGCGGTTCACAGCTCAATGGAATGTTGGCCTTGGCATCAAGCCCCTCAGCGCGACACAGTCAGCTTCCCCACGTTCTCTAATGCCTCTCGTTGGTCAGAATGGAAAATCGACAAGGTGAATAGGGAAGAGAGTTTCGCCTCTGCCTATCGGATGCATTGTAAGCACGGCCGAACATGCAGTTTGGTTCTTTGCCTGGCATCCCATCTGGGATCCGACTGCAACCCTCCTGATAAAAGAACAGGGGACATATGTCCCAATTCAAGGGCATGCGCCGAGACCGCGGGACCAGCTCCCTTGATCACACATCAGCAGCGTGCCCCTCGGTGATTTTGTTCCTGAAAAAAAAGAAATCTTCAGTGAGCGGGGTCAGCAATGAAGAAGGGCTTCAACTTGCAATTGCCATAATCAGATCACGGCACTGCACATACCCTCCGTTGAGACAGTAAGAAACATTCCTTTTTGACTTGGAGCGGACGTACCTGCATTCAGGGCCCGAGTTGTCCGAGGGTCAAAGAGGTCATACCTCCAACCATTGCTGCGCTCAGGGAACAGCCTTCGAAGCAAACACCCACCGTCCTTCACCGAGTACCTCAACGGGCAACTCAAATCCTCCGCCATGGAAACCCTCGACCTCGTGGTCATCGGCGCAGGTATGCCACCACCCGCCCTGCGTGTCGCAACCCGGAACTAACTGCATTGCATAGGCATCGCCGGAATCTCCGCTGCAAAGACCTACCACCAGCTCAACAATGGCAAGACTCTCGCCCTACTCGACGACAAAGAGAGCGTCGGCGGTGTTTGGGCCAATAGCCGGCTCTACCCCGAGCTCCGAACAAACAACATGCTTGGGACATATCAGTTCCCTGACTTTCCGATGACCACCGAGCAATTCGGTGTGAAGCCAGGAGACCACATCCCAGGCGTTGTCGTGCACGAGTACCTGAAAGCCTATGCTGAGAAGTTTGGCATCGCGGATAAAATCCGCTTCCGTCATAAGGTTGTGACTGCTGAACACCAGAATGGACTGGACGGTGGTTGGACCCTGACAGTAGAGCATGACGACGAGACGAGCAGGATCTTTGCAAAGAAGCTCATTGTCGCTACCGGGTTGACTTCTGAGCCGTTTTTGCCTCATATTGATGGACAAGAGGAGTTTAGCGCGCCTTTGTTCCATGGTGCTGATTTCCTTCAGCATGTCGATACCCTCGAAACCACTCATAAGGTGACGGTTTTCGGTGGGAGTAAATCGGCTTGGGATGCAGTCTATGCGTACGGTAAGAAGGGTATCCACGTGGACTGGGTGATCCGAGAAAGCGGCCATGGTGCTGTGTGGATGGCACCACCCTACGTGACACCATTGAAGAAGTGGCTAGAGAAGCTGGTCAGTATGTGTCTTCGACCAACCACACCCCTCTTGTGCATCATCGTACTAACGTCGCAACCCCCAGACACCCGCATGCTCACCTGGTTCAGCCCTTGCATCTGGGGCTTCGCCGACGGGTACAACACGCTCCGCAACTTTTACCACGGCACCGCCCTCGGCCGCGCCATCACGAACGTCTTCTGGTCCGTCCTCGGCAACGACGTCATCACGCTCAACAAATACGACTCCCACCCCGAGCTCAAGAAGATCAAGCCCTGGAGCCACCCCATGTTCACCGCTTCGTCCTTTTCCATTTACAATTACCCCACCAGCTTCTGGGACCTTTTGACCAAAGGCACCGTCAAAGTTCACATTGCAGACATCACCGGCCTGTCCCACAAAACGGTCCACCTATCCAACGGTACAGACCTTCCGGCTGATGCCCTGTGCTGTGTGACTGGCTGGAAGCACGTACCACCGGTCAAGTTTCTCCCCGAGGGAATCGACCTAGACATTGGGCTGCCTCATACACCAAGCAAGGCAAAGCTGTTCACCAAGGAAGCCGTCGAAAGGGCTGACAAGGAAATTCTCGGTAAATTTCCGCGATTGAAGGATCAGCCAGTTCAAAACCCTAACCTGAAGCCACTCCTTGGAACAAAGGGTCTGTCAACGACAGACAAGATCAACCCTTCGACTCCTCTGACCCCATGGACGCTGTACCGGTTTATGGTGCCACCCTCAGCAAGGTTCATGCAGACAAGAGACATTGCCTTTGCGGGTATCTGCATGAACTTCAGCACCATGATCATGGCGCATATCCAGGGGTTGTGGATCTCGGCGTATTTTGCTGACCAGCTGCCTGTGAGGACGATTCCGCCGGTTGATGGGAAGAGGGATCGGGAAGGGAGGGCCAAGACGCTGGAAGAGGTTCAGCACGAGACGGTACTGCATGCTCGGTTTGGCAAATGGAGGTATCCGGCCGGGAAGGGCGCGCTGCTGCCGGACTTTGTGTTTGACGCGGTGCCGTACTTGGATTTGATGGTGGGGGATATGGGTTTGAAAGTTCATCGGAAGGCGGGGTGGTTAAAAGAGGCAACAGAGCCGTATGGGCCGGAGGATTATGAGGATCTCATGTCGGAATGGGTGCAGTCGGTCGATGGGGAGTAGCGGAGTCCTGTTATGACGTAGAAGGCGATGAGATGGGTGTATATAATGCGATCAATTGCAATACCAATGATGGCAGACAGCTTTTATTCTGGCGGTGGCTGCCTGTAACGTTGGAATCATTAGCGATGAGCTGTCGTGCTGATGGGAATGTAAGAACTTGAGTGAAGTCAAAACAAGCAGTTAGTGGAGGCGCACAAGCGCGGCGGGTCATTGGGGCAGTGGGTGGGTTTCGCGGGGGTGGAGATCTCACTCAGCCTTGTTTGTGGAGTTGGCGATCTGGGGCGTCACCACCATGATTGTGATGGCGACGGTGCCGAAGGCTTCTAAAGCTCGATCGGGTAGGATATGTTGCAAACGTGGAAAGGCTAGTTGCTTGCCGCTGCGTTTGGCAGGCGGGTGCAGTCATTAGCATGTTTACAGTGCAAATGATTGTTTGACGAGAAGCGCTGGGGTGATACGGAGAGGTGCTGGTGGAGGAACTCTCGAGGCGGCAGAGTAAAGAAGAGAGCAAAATATCGAGAGGCAAAAAAAGAAATTACGTTGTTGAACTGCCCCCAGTCCAGCAAGATCCCCCAGTCTCGCAAGGCTATGTAACACTCCCATACACATGGGCGCCGCCGTCGGCAGCCAGAGAATTGGCCCCGCTCATTTATGTAGCTATTTTGCCATGGACAAGAATCACACTCCGGGAATCGAACCCCAGAACGCCTTTGACAAGTGGTGGGGCTCGAAGGGAGCACCCAAACCACTTGGCAAACACAGTGTTGGTTCTTGATGGAAGCTGTGTCCTGTTTGGTCATTATAAGGCACAGGAAGGAGCAAGAACGGGAGTCGCTCCAGCTATCTGGCTGGTTTGTCACCTGTCATGCCGGTGACAGCATTGGGTGTGGAAGCTCAGGTTGCAGAACCAGGGCGAGAGACGAAGAAACACCGAACAAAAACGCTAGATTAGAGCTACTGGACACCTCATATTTGATTCCAACGGCCACTCCGGCCATCCTCCGCAAACGAAACCTGAGACCTCTTGTCAAATCAGTTAGAGTAATACAAATAGTAATCTATATCATCAAGGGTATCCCTGCAGCTTGTGCGCTCGTCATCTTCAGCGTAATCGGGGTAATCCTCGTCGTCAGATCCGAACATCTCTCTGTCAAACTGCTCATCCAAAGTCAAATGGGCCTGGTCTATCCCTGATCCCCGTGGCCTCCGTGCCTTCATAGGCGATTAAGGGTCATACCCAAGACCATGAGCCTCATCGACCCCCCGAGAGCTCTCCTCCTTCACCTTTGCTAACCACTGAAGGCTGATCTTTATGAGGTACGTATCGTATAAGGAGGGGAGGTGGATATAACGCTATTGATGCAGTACTGAACTGTTTTGGCCTCCAGTGGTCAAACTGCAAAAATGCTAGAAGACATCAGGCCTGTTATCTCCTTGTTGATCTGGTCCAACGGTTGAGATCGGCAAACTCCAATTTGAGATCGAGTCGAATAGCCTTTTCCAAGCCATTGAGATATGTCTTGTCACCGGTCCGAGACGCGTTTTCCACGAGTTGAACGTCGACAAGTCCAATTAATCCCTCCGGATGAAGTAATATCGTAATGATGGAGATGGTTCCATGGCGGGACAGGCTTTTGCCTTCGAGATCGAGGTACAGCTCGCTGGAGGGGGGAATAGAAGAGATAAAGGCCTGGAGTTCTTCGGTAGTGGAAATGACACTGGTGGTTGCGTCCGATGTCGCCATACCTTATCGTAATGTCCGTTCCCACTGATTCTAATATTCGCCGCTGGGGCAGTTGATATTGGTAGTAGAGTGCTGCACTACTTTTCACCATAATTCAGTCAAAGGGGAGTGGCGACGAGGAAGACGCTCTATTTCACCTGGGAATCTTTACATATTGGGTGTCAACATAATAAATGTGCGTTGCTTGCTTTGCTGATACAGAAGTCCAGAGTCCCGATTGGAGCTGAAACTCGAAGAATTCCAACCCTGTCAAGGTTAAGGTGATACAATACAACTTTGGTATAGGTAGCAGGGTTGATTGGATCTAAGAACTGGGGCTTCCTGCCCAAGGTCGTCGAAAATATGTTGATCAAATTGTTTGCTGTGGGCAATTGGGAAAGAAAAAGGGCGAAGATGTTGTGGAGAGGTCAGTCTACCTGATACCTTGCAAATCTTTGATGATCCAAATCCGCACTGCAAAGAGGTAGCTCCTAGATAAAATCCTTGATTTGTTCAAGATTTCCCTGCATTGAAATATCACCCAAGTGCATGCAAGACTTAGGTAGGTGGTAATTGACTGCACAAATTTACAATAAATCCGAGCACAAAATCCGCAGTGGGAATCAGCCTCAACAACCCCAAAGAAAGAGTGGGTTATTCATATTAGTCCATGAAAGGGCACGCAGACCAGAACTCCCACAAAACCCCATCTTACCATCGATGTCCACGGCTTCAATGCCGGCACGGACGTCCTCCAACTCCGCATCCTCCACCTGCATACTCCCCATACCCCCATCTCCATATCATCAAAGGTTAGCATAAACCCAGCTCGAAGCCACCATGCATGCTATGTTCAACCATGCTTCAGATATACTTACAGTCGAGCCTGGGTTCTCTCCAGGAACCGGTCTCTGCCCTCAACCAGGGACAGAAACAAGCGGCAGAAAAGCTTGTGGGCTAGGGATATCAGAGTGTCATGTCAGTCTTTCAGCATCATACAACAAGCCTTGATCGATATCAACACCACATAGCATCACCAAAAAGAAATAAAAGAACGCAAAATCACTTTGCAAATGATTGAACGGGATGCAACTTACCAAGCTTCCGACTCACAACCACCAACATCCTAAGCCATGCTCTCGCGAGGGAGCATCTGGGCCAACAACAAAAAATGCTCACGGGCGGGCATTTGACTTCTATTTTTTATAAAAAAAAAAAGCTAAGCACCAACATGTTAGTTTTTGTCCCTGTCTTCTGACGTGCGCATGACTTACAAAGACACTGGGTTAAATATCTGTGTTACAGGTATTATCAGCATTTCGATCTTTGAATGGAGTGCCCCTGAAGTTTCCTCGCTTTACTTCCCCCAAACACATCAGGAGACAGGCATTCTTGAGCCCAGTTGGGGAACATGATGCCCCTACCCTCGTCATTGACTCCTGGGACAACAAAGGGCATGAACATACCGGGACAAAGTCAACCGAAAGCAAATAACAACAACGGGTTTGGTCGCTGATGTTGGTTATTTCTGTCCCAGCCACGATGTTAGGGTAAGTCTTCCCACGCAAAGAGAGCCCGGTAGCTACTCAGAAAGAGGAGGAGAGACGAGCTTGACCGCTGTGATAATCTAGATATCACCTTTAATGAGTCTTGATGTTCAAGACTGATGTGGGCTTGAACAAGAGCACATACGAAACGGAAAGAAGCCGGGATGGTAACTGTTTTCTGTCTAAAACTAAGCTGTCAGTTTCTAGGTTCTCAGAAAGATCAACAACGGCTATCCACAACAGGGATATCGAAGAACACGAGAATCGGGCCAACATATCAAAGGACGCCGGAGAGAACGGAGAGCCTGTGCTGTTTTCTGGGCAGGACTGTCAGCGGTCAACGGCTCCTCAAACGAAACACGAGACGAGGCGCGAAGCATACGGGAAAGGACCAAAGAAACGGGAAGGGCTGGCAGTCGGCCTTCTGTTATCAACTGGAGTTAGCACCCAGCCTCAGGCTCAGACGACTGTAGCCCAATAGGAAGATTCTTACAGAAACAGCGATACAGGCAACCACAAAGTGGGTTTCTTGAGAGAACTGCCAATTACCAAGAGGATCAGCCCCCTTACGTCTCTAGTTAACGGTACGTCGTTTTCGCGATTGGGAATGAGAGATGAAGCAAAGCGACGAGCCGATTGAAGGCTTGTAATTGTGGGGATAACGATCGGCTTACGGCAAGGAGGAAGGTAAAGAACTCTGTTGTCTCCAATCTATTAGCTTTCGTTTCATAAGAAGAAAGTATTGGATCCAGGCCACACAAGTCAAGGGAGCCGGGTTTATACTCACCAAGCGGTCCCAGGGGAAGAAAAGGTAGAGAGTCAGGCTGTTGACTAGTTCGACAACAATGTTAGCTGCTGCACCAATTTTGACCAAAGTGTCAAAGTGCGGTTGATACCACAAAACGCCTGAAGGAGATGCTGCTCACAGAGGGAAAAGAAGAAACAGCAAATCTGATGTTAATGTGCATGTCACAAATGAACTGTCAGATAAATCTGCCTAGCACCTGCGAAGCCCCGGTGTAAATGGAGTGTGCTGGTAACCTGGACATTCGTTTCACATCTGTTTGGAACCGGGAAGTTCAAAGACTTGGAAGCTTTGAACTGTCGAGAAGTTGATGGAGAGCGTACCGAACGGCGGAAGAGTCCCAAGGGCGTCGTTTAAGGAAATCTGAGGATACAGTTAGTTGTCAAGAGCGTCAAGCCTGGCTGGAGCTCAAGCAAAGTTGCGACTGTACATACAGAGACGAGACCGACCAGCGCGGCGGAGAGTATCTTTGGAAGTGTCTGCAAAGTTTGTTCGCATTGTTTTTACGTCCAATTCCACGAGGGCGTGCGAGGCCAAGGCCGAGCCATCGCAAGCAGCTTGCCACTTGCAAGCGAGCGACTCCAACAGCAAAGCATCCAGATATAAACCGCCCAAAGTGGTTGAGAATAGTAGCATGATTGTTCTGACGAGGCAAAGGCCAGAGAGACAGTGGTGTACATACAGGAGCAGACAGACAGCGCAAATGACGGTGCCGAAGGAAAAAGAGCGACTCTCACAGACGAGTAAGAAAGTCGAAAAGAGGTGGGAGTTGAGAGACACACCTGGAGCAAGTTGCTGGTGGTCCAAGCTCCTCCAATTCCATCCAAGCTTCCTACAAGAATTCAGACATCATACAATCAATGCTTTGATAAGGAGTTCTGATCCTTACTCAATTGGACTACTGCAATTGGAGAAGAGGAAACCTGGAACTCAACCCCCCATACGGCTTCGACGAAGCCATTCTCTCCTTTGATAATTTACTCCTGCGGCACTGCACTGATTTTAAAACCACCCAATTACCTACATTACCCACAACCAGACATAACCTTCTTTGCTAGGGATCGTTTAAAAAGAGATATCCCAGAAGATTACGAAAGTGACAAAGAGACCAAATCGCTAAATCATTGTGGGTGGCATTGAGTGAGGTATCTGAGCTCAAAGACTTGGCTGTATCTTTCGGCTAGTTAACGGAGGGGCAATACCCAAGGTAGCGTACTATGGAGAGAACCCCATGTACTCCTTGAAGCCAGCAAAGCTAAATATGACGATAGGTGACAATAATATATAACCAGCCTGTCTTGTTCCCAGTCCTCTGTTGTGCGGTTCTTCGATTTCGCCATCCCAACCGTCCTGCTGTCAAAAGAGATGGCCCGTGCATGTCAACAATCAGCCTGGCAATAGTCCTCTCAACGCCGGTCTATTACAAACCTCCAGCAATCCTGTCCAGCACGGATTTCTGTCCTTTGAGATGTCGTAACACCCCGGTGACACGACACAGAGCCTCCACGTGGCCATAGGCATCACCATGTAATAAAAAACAATAAACACATATAATAACAATAGAAGGTAACCACAAATGCTAAACAACTTTATCATCATGGCTAGCTAAAGCCAATCTCTCATCAGATCCTATCATCTTAAGAGGTCACCCCCGCTGCAGGGATGCTGAATAGACAGCACTGGAAATGGGAACCCACATTCAGCTCTTCCGCAAGGAGCGCAGCCGAATGTACATGTGCCCACCGTAAACCACACCCCGTCACCCTCTTTGCATCCATGCCGTGTTATGTATCTTGGGCGCGGTGGACACCGCGATGCGTCGTATTCCTGACACCCTCGGCAGAAATGACGAAGGTGGTAGACGGAGTATCTTGGCATCATCGGAGCGACGGAGTGGCAACTAGGCCGGGGTAGCGGATCGAGTGTCGTGGTATGGGGAGGAGGCAATGGACGCGACATTGATGGAGGGGATCGGTGGACAAATCTTGGAATCGAGTTGTTTGAAGATGAGAGCTGGCAGGTGACAAAGGTTAGTGACCACACAAAACGGGGAAAGAGGGTGGAAAATACAGTAGCATGAAAGGACAACTTAATGTTTGCCCACTAAAGCCACAAGGCTTCAGCTAGGCAAGTTGTCTGATGAAAGCTCGCGTCTCTGTGCTGGCTCTGGGTCTAAGATGTCAGGAGGAAAACTCCAACGCAAAGACCCAGGTTCTCAGGCGGCACCACGTGGAGGTACAGAGTCTGTCTTCGCCGCCCGACATGGGTTGCCAGCCCACGGGTTTACACTGTTGTCCTTCAGCCGTTTTGTAGGTGGTTCAGGTTCCCCCGGTCTACTGTTTTCCTTCAGCCCGACCGCAGCCTTACTCCTCCATATCCATCCTATCCATCTCCATCTCCATCCCATCACCCTTCCCCTCACCCTCAACCTCCGCATCTTCCATGGTCTCATCGAAATCCATATCCTTCAGTGCTTGGCGCACGTCCTCAAAGTCCACGCGTGGAGGAGCAGCGGGATTGACCCCCAATGCTTGGAGGCCATCAGCAACGCTGTCGAACGCCGCGGCCTCCCCCTCCTTACGCTCGTCCTGGCGCAGCCTCGCCGACACCCACAAATTCACCTCCAGCTCATTCCGGGCGAAGAACGGCACCTCGAAATACAGCTTGTCCAAGCCGTCGGTCAACCCGTTACCCTGCATGGTGCTGGTTCTCTGCACAAAATCTTAACAACTTGATTCATCATCCATGCACAAAACTCTCTTTTTCTTATTTTTCTTTTGATTTTTTTGCAAAACAGATTGTAACTTACCGGAGTGCTGTCCCACCAGTTCCGATACCTCTCCCGGGCATACATCAACTCCTGAAACAACGAAATGAACAAGGCGTAGTCCATCTCGTTCTCCCAGCCCATCTCATGGGTGAAATGCATGTGCATTTCTTGAAACACCCAAAACGGGTCAATCTCCACCACCGTCTCCGGAGGAGCGCAGGATTCCTCGTGCTGCTCAACCAACCACCTCCCCATCCCCAAAGCGAACTCCACCATCTTCAACAAAAAACCCCTAACATTCTGCTTGTCGAGAGGCATGACCCGGGCCAGTGTGTCGACCACGGACCTGTCGCGTCTGGTCTTTCCCAAGACTACGTCGCCCTGAGACCAGGATAATCCCTTGTTGGGAAGCAAACGACGGAGTTGGGGAGCCATCTTGTCGATCTTACTAAGTTCTTTCTGTCAATTTTAAATTCAAATTTGAATAAGTTACATTCTTCATCCGAGCATACCTCTCAAAATTCGTTCATAAACGATTGCAGGCGTGAGCGAGGGCGGTGGTGACCGTGTGGTCGAGGTCGGGAGTTGGCTTGCGAAGGAGACTTTTTGAATTTGAAAATCGCGAGCAAGAGAATTTTTTATCGGCAGTGCAAGTCATGTGCAGGCGAATAAGGGGGGCAGAAAAACCAAAACAAACAGTCACAGCTTCGCAAGTTAGCGTCTGCCTGCAACTTGGTTTAAAGGGAAGGGGCGACACCGCGGCTCATATCAATTCTACTATATTATATCTTAAGACATAGTACTGGGGACAGAGACTCGTCTGAGGTTCAATCAATTTTCATGACATGTTAGATCAAAAAGAAGTGATTGTTTTACAAAAGAGATAAACACAAAATGGAAGTACTGTGTTGGCCATCCCCCAGACCCACAACCCTCAGCGCGGTCTAAAGCGGAAGCGAACATAGGAATCAAGCAGCCTGGAAATCGACAGTTGCGATAGAGAGCGCCCACCATGGGGATTGAACCCATGGTGTCCGTAGACTAGCGGTGGCACTTGATGACAGAACCAGACCACTTGGTCAAACACGGTTGTGCTGTTGATGGAAGGTACTGCAGAACTGTTATTGATGAGGGGTAGTTGCTCCTTCCGCAAGTGTAGCAGTCTACCGCTGATTAAGCACAGACAGTTCCTTCCTCAGGCTTAAGATGGGCAAGATGTCATCCCACCACCTGACAGCTTTGTTACCAATGGCAAGGCGACCAGCCGACCAAGAGCCATTGGTTGTAGAACGCTCTAAACTTTGCCAGCTCAATCATCAGCTCAATCATGGCACTGGCAACGTAAACAATAGTGATTTGGATGTCTATTTTACCCACAAGCCAGCATTAGAAGGAAACTCGAGTAGTGGTAAGCAAAGCCGGAGGACTAGAATGGCCAAATGCCCTATGTAAAACCTGGCCCCATTTTATAGTGCGAGACAACAGGCTGTTGTGCTCTTTGAGTTCGAATGGTAGAGAGGCTATCAAGTGTGAGGGAGGCCCAGAGGGTGGGTCCCTTGATACTGGGACCTTGAATATCATTGGGACTGGGTTTCAGTTCGATGAAATGTATACGGATAGACGTAACCACTCCAAATCCTTGGTTTAGAAAGTGTATCGCCCAGTAAAATAACAGACATCGAGTGGACTGCTTATCCCTGATTCAAACCTGCCGGTTTTCCTGAGTCTGTTTGGGCCTTCTAAAAAGTGGCGAAAGGGAATCCGAAGCTGCGTCTCCCAGAAAATAAAACACTACAGTTCGCACATGCTTCTTCAACCATCACACATCCGGCCAAAACCCCTTCTCCCCCTCCAACAAGGTCCTCCACTTCCCTTCCACCCTCCCCAAGATTTCTTTCTTCACTTCCTCCTGTTTCTGCCCATCCTCACCCACCATCCCAATCTCCCTCTCCACAGCCTGATCAATCAACACCCCCAACCTCCCCACAAACCCCCTAAACTCATCACTACTCCAATTAGGAATAAACTCCTTCCTCAACGCCCCACCATCCTCATCCTTCTTCCCATTAGGCCTCTCCTCCTGCTGCCCCCTCGCCCAGCTCCAAGCCTCAAGATAAACTCTCTCCGTCCCCCAAAACGTCACCGCCCCCTCCAACCAAGGAATCTTCTCACTCATCGGCAATTCTCCTCCCCCCGCCCCCAACAACCAAGCCCCCAACCCCCTCCCCTTCTCCTTCCCTCCAACATCCCTAAACAACCCCTCAATAACCCCCAACCCCTTCACCCTCCCCGCCTCCCTCGAGTTCACTCCCACAAAATCCACCAATTCATACCTCCCCCCAACCTCAAGAAACATCCTCTCCTCCCTCCTCACCGCACCCAAAGCCTCAATCAGCCAATCCACCAGTCTAACTTCGAACGCCTCATCCTCTTCCCCCGGCTGTTCAACCCCAGGTAAATGCTTCGGCAGCTCCAGACTAGCGAGCAACTGTCCCGCAGCTCGGATATAAGCATGGATATACAACCGGTCATTCACCAGCCAATGACTCAGCACATCTTTGGGGAGCGTCCCTTTTGCTGCAGCGAGCAAAAAGGGGTGCTGAGTCGCGGCTTTGAACTCCTCTGGTTCGAGGGAGAGGAGGTGTTTGGTGAGGGAAAAGGGGGCAGCGGTGGTGGATGACGTCATTGTTGTGGAGACTCAGGGGTAAGGTAAACACAAAGATGGATGGAGTGATGATTTGAAACGATAATTGTGGAAAAGAAACGAGGGATTTGGTGTGAAAAGAGATAGGAAAAAAGCACGTCTCGGCATGGATCAAGGGAGGGGTTAAAACACAGTGTGGCTTGTGGATTAGTGTAACGTTGTGGCATGCGTCTTCGCTTCCCGGAACAGCCGCTCGGCATGGCCCGACATCAGCCGGAAGATGCGCGGCCCCACTGTAACGCCGAGTTCCACTATGCAGCCGGTTGCGATGCTGTGGATGAATGTTTACTTTGGGCATTAGGGGTTGGTGACACGACATGATTTCACTTGCTTGACGAGTAAAAGGATCAAGGTAAAGGCTGCATCAGCAATCGATTGATGTGCTAGCCTGAGAAGTCAACGCCTCCTGAAACTCATAGCAACGAAACAATGCTCCTATCCCTAGCGCGCCAACCAATCCGGTGCCAAAGACAGAGAAAGCCATGCCTCAACTCCAGAATATGCTGCCCATTGTGAACCCGAATGAACGCCTTGAACGAAAAGAGACCATCAAGCAAAACAATGCCAATGCTGAAACTGAAAGAACCATGTGTCATCAAATGCGATCTCTAAACGAACCACCAGCAGCATTAACATCCCCCCATCTCCACATCCTTCGTGTTGTTGAGTATCATGCCCTCAACACCAGCACGAACGTCCTCCATCTCCACATCTTGCTGGCCGCCAGTAGTAGCGCCATCTTCCTCCTCAAAGATCTCGACATCGTCCGCCGCCTCGTTCATGTACAGCTCCAGCTCGGTATTGGACCAAAAGCCCCTCACGGCCCCATTGAACAGGTCAATGGCCTTGGCCAGGGCAGAGAGCTGGAACTCTTTGACGGGTTCCTGTCAACACAAGGTGTTAGGAATTGATTCAATTCAACCTTGCAATGGCAACATACCTTGTCGTACTCGAAGCAATCCTCCAAGTACCGATGGCGAGCCATCACAACCGCGAAGAAGAGGTTCTCAAACACCTGCACAACGGCAGGCGACGCACGAGCGAGCGCAACCCCCAGGCGCGAGTGGGCGCCGAACATCTCGACGAAGCCAAAGTGGTCCTCCGGCTCGTCGCGCAATCTGTGCGCGAAATCGGTCGCCTCCTCGACCATTTTGGTGATCGCTTTCACCATGTGCTTTTTGCCCGCGGGCACCCTCAACTCCGCCAGTATCTTCTCGACTTTGTGGTCCCAACTGCGTCTGGCCAGGACATTGTCATGGCCAGGCCAGGCCAGTCCGCTGACCTTCAACGCCGCTTTGAGAGAGAGACGACAGACATCTTCGGTATCTGCTGAGGAATTAATATTAGCTTTCTATGCCTGAATTCTACATCTTGACGCCCTGAGCTTGCAAATCAACCCCCTCGAAGATAGACTTGAGGTCTTTTCGGGATAGTATAAGGCTTCAAAGTCGCATAGTGACACCTCAAATGATCGTTTGGACGCGTCAAACTATCATTATAAGACCTGAAGAAGAAGATTGAACACATACATTTGAAATGAAGAGGCGTTCGAGTTTGTTTTGAAGGCGTTTTGAGATAGTAGAAAGGCGTGCGCGATGGTGAAGATGGGGGATGGAGGGTTGAAGAAATGTCCTGCCAATTATTTACGATTGTCAGAAAGTTTTCAAGCTATTGACTCAGCAAGAGCAGCGAGCAGAAAAGGCAGGAAGGTGCCATGCGACCAACAGGGCAGGCGCAAAGATCAATCTGCGATAGCTCTTCCATCTGCTCCGCCTGGAAAAGGCACACAAGCAAAGAGGAAAAAGAATGATAAAATAAATAAGATATATGAACTGCTAATCATATCCTTCAACCCATAAGTCATGGGCTATTAATAGTTTGATTAGCTGGATGGCAAAAAGGAAGTGGAAGTCATGGTGAAACCCCCAGTCTACTCAGCAATCCCACAGACGTATACCGCGGTTAGGTAGGTCGTAACCACCAGTGATGCAATATCAAGCCCTCATCCCTCATGCCATGGACAATTGCTGGTTGCAGGAGTTGAACCCGCAACATCTAGTAGGAAGTGGGAGTTGAACCCACAGCCTCTAGAGGTGGCGCAACCTGTGATGGTAGCATTGACCACTTGACCAAGTGACTGCTCTGATTTTGATACCTTTGGCATGCCGACAGTTGATCTAAGAGGTGACAGGTGTTGGGCCTTGCTCCCATTGGCTGTTATCGTCTGACAGTTGCTCCGTTTATGGCAGCTCCCTAAAGGCTCGTGCCAGGTGAGATGGCTTTGCGGACGAGGTCGCGTTTACTCTTGGCTGTGACGCGCCTTTCTCTTCTCCTCGGGTCAACCACCCTTCTCATCATTTTGATCCAGCTTTGGTTCTCGACGTGGAGCATCCTTCACTATTGAATCCGCCAGACAAAGGCCCATCTCCGTCATTATCACACAGGAAGGTTAAGCAAGCTTCTCTCTCAAGTCACCACTGTCGGACGGAATCGCACAAGCCAACAACGGTCATTCCAATCAGAGTAATCGGCACTATCACAAAAGGGGTCTAATCAAAAAAATCCATTCTTTGTTCTCCATTACATCGCTGACTATTAAAAAGCGTCCTAAATGATTCTCATAGTAGTCATGGTCCCGGCCTCAAAAGGAATATCCCACCACGCAGGTGCCTTCCACTGATAATCGCCATGGGCCAGCTCAATCATCCCCACCCGCTCATACAACTGCTCATCGGCATCTACCAACACCAACAACAGGAGGTACCGATACCGATATATCGGATCCAGAATCCCTTCAGTGTCGATACTGGTACCAAGCGGCATACCAAACACTGCCTGTCCCTGTCGGATGATAGGCTTTTCGCTTGTAGTCTGAATATCAAGGAACCCACGTGCTCTCGATTCTTGAAGATTAAGATCGATCCCAAAGCTACGTTGGAACCAGCCCGCCCACTCCAGTGTGTCGTTATGCACTGATTGACTGGATGTTCCAGCCAGCAAGTTCCCCTTGAGCGTCAGACAACCATGAGTGGTCAGTCTGCTGGTGCCACCATCCACCTGGAGATCCGTGGCAGGGATCACATGAACCAAGCCGAGACCTTGTGCTGCAGCTGAAAGCGTATGATACGGAGGGAGTTCAATCTTCTCGACAACAGTACCGCTATCCTCCCACCATGGCTCCCCGTTCCCGAGATCCGATCGAGACCAATACTCACAACAGGTACCAACTGAGAGCCAAGACCATGTAGGAGCTTTTGTCGTATCCCTATTTGGTCTAGGATCCGTCGGCCTTTTCCCCCTTCGAGTTGCCGTCCCAGTATGCCAGGCAAGATCACACAGAAAGCTATCCTCCCATAGTCCCGCGGCATACAATCCCTTCCTTGAATGCTGCATCTCTACTGCCAGTCCGAGAATAGCAACCGCTCTGTCCGATATTTTTGTCAAATCCAGCGTGGTATAAGCCCTGACCATATCATGCCAGACTCTCCGCTGCTCCGACACCGGCGCCTCCCTTGGCAACCGCGTCTGAATAGCCTTGATTTCCAACCTAGACCGATCCGCGGTTGTCATCCAGCTAACCCCCTCAGGACACTCACATTCCACCGACTCCATACATTCCCACACCAACTCATCCGAACAACAGTGTATGATCCTCCGAGACAAAAGCCTCTCCTGATAAACCCACCCTCTCCCAAGCAGCGTCTTCCCAAAATGAACATGACTCGGCGACCCACTCAAATGCTTATCCATCAACCTAACCTCAAACCTATAACCCGTCCCATCCTTCAATTTTCCAGCCACAGTCCTCTCCCTCGTCGGAACCAACGAATCCTCACACCCAAACCCCGCCGTGCCAGCTACAGTCACAACCGCATTCTGATAAATCGCGCACATCTTCCTCGACTCTCTATACCAATCCTCCGCATCATCCTGCACAATACAAAGACTATCAATCCAGAGATACCTCACCCCCAGCTCCCTTGCAATGTCGATCGCATCCTGGAACAGCTTCGGGATCTTCTCCCAAGGCAACCCTTCCTTCCAATCCCCCAACGTCGCCCGGGTCGTGGTAAGCGGCTGACACTTCCCCCACCGATGACTAAGACAAGCATACCTCCCCCTTTCCCCCACCCTCGATTCATACAACCTCACGCCCCCATTCCCAGGTAACAAATCCAGCACTCTGCTCGGTAATACCGTCACCCCCTCAGGAAGCATCACACCCCCATAAGACCTACACATCTCATGACTTTCCCGACATCGCCCCAACCACGCCTTCATTTTTTCTACTTTCCTTTCCCACGCGAAACTTTCCTTGTTCAAGGCAGCCGGGGTCTTCATCAAGTTCCACCCCCCAGTCCCACATAACCCATCATCCACAAAGAAGTTAACAGTCTGCCCCTCCGTCCAGGGTGTCACCCTCGCCGGTGTTCTGAACTGAATCAACAACCGATCTTGCTTCTCACTGCTCTGTTGCATGATCAGCATGACCTGCAGCTGGACGCCTCCCAGCTGCGAGGGCGTGAACCAGACTTGCAGGGCGTCGGTGAGGATCTTGCAGAGGGAACAGTCTTGTTTGGTGGCGTGGGTGACGGCTGCCTCCCAGAGGATGTGATGCTGTCTCTGGGGGCGGGGTCGGTGGGTGGAGAGGAGGAGGGCGAGGAATTGGTCACATTGTGTTTTTGGACCATCATCCACGGGGGGTTTGGGAGAAACCATTGCAGCGGCTACAAGCAACTCGAAATGTGTTTCTGTGAAAACGCAAAGATAATCATCAAAGAAGAGGGAGCCCGTCAGCCTATTGATCCTCGCTTCCTGCCTAATCTACATTACTCCTGACCAACCACACGTGGCAAATCCCCACGCCACAGACATGCACCAAACAAACCTCCACTCACCTCCACTCCTTAATAATAACATCCGCAGCCTTCTCACCCAGCGCATAAGCCGTCGAGCTCGTATGCGCACTGATAACCAAAGGCAAAACACTGATATCCACCACCCTCAACCCCTTCGCCCCGTGCACCCTCAGCTTATTATCCACCACACCCCCCTTATTCTTCGGTCCCAACGCAGCAGTGCAGCACGGATGCTGATAACTCAACGTCGCAGCGCTCTTGATAAACGCCAACAACTCCGCATCACTCTGCACAGCTTCACCCGGGGCAGTTTCCACCGCGCCGTAGCGCTTCATCGTGGGTGTGTCAAGCAGTCTTCGTGACCACTTCACATTAGCAAGCTGCATGTCAAAGTCGACTGGGTTGCTGCCGTGTCTGCTGTCAACAATGGGCTGAGCAAGATGATCTGCCGGGTTGAGGCGGACCGTCCCACGGCTGAGGGGATGAAGAAGGATCGCTGGGGCGGAATAACCTGTTGACCATGGGGTTTCGAGGTTGGGGGCCTTGGGGTTGAGGAGGAGCTTGGCCAAGACGGCGAGCTGGTCTCTGTAGCCTCTGGCCAGTGCTGCGTTGTCCCTGTAGTCGGCTGGCAGGAAGGATGCTGCGGATCCATCTACTGTCTGTCTGAGGATTTTGCGAATGATGCTGAGGTAGTTGGGCGTGGTGTTTGGGAGAGAAATGTAGATGGCCTGGTTGCCCAAGGCCATGGTGTAAGGACCGCGCGCTGGCACCTCGTCAAACGCAGCCGTGGCATCAGCCTTGAAAGTTGGGTCGGCCATTTCCTCTGGCATTGGGGTCCAGTTTCCAGGCTTGGTGTCTATAGGGACCATGTTAGCATAAGGGTTACTAGAATTTAGAAAAAGAAGGATAATTTGTGGGGATGGATGACATACAGTTCCAAGCCACGCCTGTGCTCCCAGGATGATCCTGAAGATTGGCACCGACTCCTGGCAGTTCAAGCACCTGTGTAATTCCAGACGCTGCAAGGATATTGGCAGCACCGATGCCGCTTCTAAGAAGAACAGTGGGTGTGTGGTAGGCGCCAGCCGAGAGAACAACCTCAGCATTGGCGGTGATGTTGAACCGAGCATTGGTGGTTAGCGATCGGACATCGAGAAGTGGAGGGCCAGAATTGACTCCGTTGGGGTAGACGACTCTGACTGCCTGATGCTTCACAAGCAGATCGTAATTGGAGCGAGTCCCAACTACATCGGCGTAGTGGCCAAGCCCAGCATGAGAACGTCTTGCAGTGATGGGATGCTGTGAAGTAGGAACTGCACAGAGACCCTCTTTGTCACCGCCAGCGCAGTCCTGACGTGTGCGGACACCCAGCTCTCTCCAGCCGTTCAGGACGACGGAGTTGTCGGCCCATTGGAAGGGGGGAAAACTGGAATGGATGGGTGTCGTGCCGCCGTAAGAAGAAAGATCCCATGTGTAGTTGTACTGCTGAGCCACCTGTGCTGATGGTGCGGTGAACTTGATACTCTGTGTTCGTTGGGGTCAGTCTCTGTGGTCAATTATGCTCTGAAATGTCACACGGTACCTTTTTGAAATAGGGAAACATTCCCCGCCAGTTCCAGTCTGAAGAAACGCCGAGCTGGGTCCAGGAATCAAGATCGTGACGTGATGGCCGATCGAAGAATTGGCCATTGATAGCACTGCTTCCACCGACCACTTGCCCAGCAAAGCTGAGGGCCGTCAAGTTGTTGTATTCGGGGTTCGGCTGGGAGAAAAATACCCAGAGAGAGGCGCTTTGAAATGAATTCGGCCCGTACCAGTCGACCGGTGGATCGAAGCTTGATGGAGCGTACTCAACATCGCCGTACTCAACAACCAGTACAGTTTCTGGTTCTCGGTTAGCTGTATGACGATGTGGATGATCAGATACGAGAGATGGCTTACTCTGTGGAAAGGCTTCACTCAACCGATCAGCTACCGTGAGACCACTTGTACCTCCGCCAACAATGACAAAGTCATAACTCTCACGCAACTGGGAGACCTGACGCTTGATATTGGCATGTGGTGTGCTCAGCCCGGTGGTCAAGCTCACCAACGAGGCAGACGCCAACAGACAGAACTTGGAAAGCGACATCTTGTCAGGCCCTTGGGTTCAGAGGGAGTGATGGTGATGGGACACCAAATCCTGTCCCGAGGTGCGGACTCCATGGCTTTTGTAGGTGTTCGCGGGTGGTTGGCTCACTGCATGACTTGCCAGCGCCTTGCCAGGTTGGTAGACTTGTCGTGATGTGATGCTGACTGCCCTGACCTAGCCCTAGAAACATGCTACCGAACCCGGCAAGGTGTGCATCGGGACCAGGGATAGGGGATATGTTGGACGGGTTCATTGCGACCTACCCCGCTTGCCCGAGAAGGCTGCCCAGAGCCATCCTCGACATCCGACTGGTCGCCAGCATCACTATTGGGCTGAGCCATGCATATGGATCATGGTGTAGTTGAACCCAGGCCCGGAGCTACAGCATTTCTTTGAAGAAGGGCATCACGCAAGGCACCCTGGTGTCCTGGGGTAGTTGGATGATTGGTGCCGTTGAACAGGGTGGGAGTTCCATGGGCGAGTGACCATGACAGAATGTTGCATTAGCTGCTATTTGAGCGTCTTGGAGAATGCAGTTGGAATAGTTCTGGGCGAAGGTGAGGCATGGGTGTAAATGTCGAAGGATGCGGTGCCAAGGGGATGGGACATAATTCCTTAGGTAAGCAAGTTCGCAGACGCACAGCTGAAGTAGCCAGTGGGTCCCTGTTTGAGGCCGCTGTTGGGTGTCGCACGCCGCCAAGCGTCCCCTGTCTGTCACAGGCGGGAAGTCGGCAACCGTTTCCCCAATTGCCCCTTCTCTGGGGGCTGTCGACATCCCGGAAGACAATTTTGACGTCAAACCGCCCTGGAACACAAGCACGCGACGTTGCCCGAACACATTTCCATCGATGCCAGCTCCAACACCAGCTGGACTGATGATGAGCATCTCCCTACAGACCTAGAACGACCAAGATAACAACACTCTTCACCACGCTCATTTGCCCTGCCCGTGGCCATCCAACGAAGACGGTTCCTCCTTTCCATCATTTAATCTTGCCTTGCCTTGTCCGTTTCTAGAAATTGGCCATCCCTCCTTTTTTCTTGTTGCCCCTCCGCCCTCCGCGCGTCTCCCGAATGTGCACAGCGCTTGCGCAACATCCTACACACAATGCCTTCCGAAAAACAGCGGTACGAACCGGTACCTCCGATACCGACCTACGATGAGGCCGTCGCCAGCGGCAGCAACAGCGACTGGCAGCAACGAGATCTCGCCCCCTCCCCGATCGACGATTCCGGAGCCGGCGCAGTAGAGGGGCAATCCCTCCTAAGGGGCTCCCGACATGCACACAATCCTACAGATCCTGCCTCACAGCGTGGCAGCCGACCAGGTGGCTACCGAGCGCCAACTGTTGAAACCGACGACGAAGACAGCCTGTTCAGCTCCGATGATTCCGATTCAGATGAAGAGACCCGCCAAGTGCGCCGGGAAATGCAAGAGCTGGAGATTGACGACTCGGACGTGCGCGGGGGAAGCCGGCCGTCGTGGGGGAAGCGCATAGGGCTCTCACTACCACAGTGGCGCTGGAGGTGGAAGTGGAAGTTACCAAGATTACATCGCCGAGCTGCAACGGCTGAGGAGAGCAATACCGACCCCGAGGCGGCAAATGCAGAGACAGAAACACCAGCCTCGCGCTTTGCGTTCCCCCAGTTTGGGAGCGCGGCGCTGCTGCTTCTGGTCGCCCGCATCCTCGCCATCTTCATGCTCCTTGGGTTTCTCTACTTGATATTCGCCAGCGACATGTTCACCAGCATGGCCAGGAGAATGGGAAGCACCGCGTTCCCGCCGGAGAGGATCAGGCTGTACATCGAGAATTCCATGAATCCAGATCATCTTGCAGAGTACTCCAAGCGCTACACCAGCTATGCGCATTTGGCAGGGACTGAAGGAGATTTTGCGCTCATGGAGTACACCGAAGCCCAGTTCCGTCGGCATGGATTGGAAAATGTTAGGCGAGACACGTACCATGTTTACCTCAACTACCCCAAGGCTGGGGGCAGAGCAGTGGAGATTCTGGGTGACGACGGTAAAGTCAAGTGGACGGCCAAGTTGGAGGAAGATGAAGTCGGTGGTGAAACGACAGGCCGTCAAACATACGCTTTCCATGGACATTCCAAGTCAGGGGATGTCAAAGGGCCCCTGATTTATGCTCACTACGGCTCGAGGGAGGACTTCCAGACGCTAAAAGACAGAGGCATCGACACGAAGGGTGCGATTGCCTTGGTCAGATACTATGGCACCCAAACTGACATGGCACTCAAGGTCAAGGCTGCTGAGCTCGCCGGATTTGCAGGTTGTCTCATCTACACAGATCCAAAGGATGCCGGGTACCTGAAGGGTCCGACAGCACCATTGGGCCGTTGGATGCCAGCTGATGGTGTCCAGAGAGGCTCCGTCAGTCTGATGAGTTGGGTAGTGGGTGATGTGTTGACTCCCGGCTGGGGCAGTAAGAAAGACAAGCTTCGTGTCAAGGTTGACCAGGCCGAGGGTCTCGTCAAAATCCCCAGTCTTCCCCTTGGCTGGCGCGATGCCCAAATTCTCCTTCAGCATCTCAAGGGACATGGGCAACATATTCCCGATGGCTGGGCCGGCGGTGTCCCTTCCATCGACGAGTGGTGGACCGGCAACCTTTCATCACCCATTGTCCGCCTCAAGAATGAGCAAGATGAAGTCGAGAAGCAAGCTATCTGGAATGTCTACGGCCGCATCGGTGGCATTGAGCAGGATGAAAAGTCCATCATCATCGGCAACCACCGCGACGCCTGGGCCTTTGGAGCTGCCGACCCCGCCTCTGGAACAGCCGTCATGATGGAAGTCATCCGAGTATTTGGCAGCCTCCTGGCGCAAGGCTGGCGCCCCTTGCGCACAATCGAGTTCATGTCCTGGGATGCGGAAGAATACAACCTCATCGGCTCGACAGAATACGTCGAGCAAAACGACGACTTCCTACGTGAGAACGCGCTAGCATACATCAACCTCGACACGGCCGTGACCGGGGGCGAGTTCCACGCCGCCGGCAACCCCGTCTTCAAGAAGCTCCTGCTTGAAGTCCTAGCCAGGACAACAGACGAACACTACCCCGACCCGAAAAACCAGTTCAAATCCCTCCTCGACCTCTGGAACGAACGCTCGGCTGATCTGGAAGGACTCGGCGCCGGCTCGGACTATGTCGCCTTTCAGGACATCGCCGGTACCGCCTCCATCGACCTCCACTTTGATGGACCTGGCTACCCGGCCCACTCGTCGTACGAGAGCCATGACTGGATGGCTGTTGAAGGGGACCCGTCTTGGGTCTACCACACTATTCTTTGCCGCGTCGTCGGCCTTTTGGCATTTGAGCTGTCTAACCGCCCAATCATGCCGTTTGACATGCCCGCTTACGCGGATAAGCTTTCGGAGTGGGTTGGTGATTTGGAAACCTGGGCGAGAAACCAAACAGGTTACGACGAGAAGATCTTCAAGGTCACGAAACTCAGAGACGCGGCCGATGAAGTCGGGATGGCGGTTAGGAGGTTTGTAAAGTGGGAGACGGAGTGGGAGAATAAGGTTATTGCGACGAATGGGTACGAGACGAACGGGCTGGGGGATATGAGGGCCGAGTATAATGCTAGGATGGGGAGGTTTGATTCGGATTTGTTGGATATTGATGGGGTGAGTTTTTTCTTCTTCCTCTGACGGCGTTGGGTGTGTGCTAATGATGGGAAATTAGATACCGGGAAGGAAACAGTTTAAACATGTGGTTTTTGGGCCGCAGAGGTGGTCGAGTTATGATGAGGGGTATTTCCCTGCTGTGAGGGACGCGATTGAGGACGGGCAGTGGGAGGAGGCGATGAGGAGGTTGGAGAAGGTGGCGGGGATTATGGTCAAGGCGGCGGAGAATTTGGCTGCGAGGTGATTTTTGTTTTCTTTTTTGTTCTTGGTTTTTTTGGTTTGTCCTAGACCCTTTTTTCCTCGAGGAGGCTCTGTTTTGAGGGGTTGGTTTTTGCATCGCATGGCGTTTCGGCTTTTTCCTTTTCTCCTGGACCTACAACAGTCCACTGCAGCTTACACAAAACTTTTCCTTGTCTTTTGTTTGTATTCTTAGTCCCCGCCATTTCTTGTATCTATTTATAAAGGGAGAAGGAGGAGATCTACACAGAGCAATGGGGGTTGTATATGAGAAAGACGATCTTAATCGAGAAAATGTACAAGATAAACTCAAGACACCAGCAAGGGTGCACGCAAAGAACACAGGAGGTTCTCACAGAATTGTACTTTTTACATGGTCTCCCATTCAATAAACTACCTATCAATACGCTCGGACTTTTCCCTTGACCTTATCCCGTCTCATTAATTCCACATCACCCCTACACTCCCCCCAGAAACCCCTCACTTCGGCGTCAACACCACCCCCTCATACTCCTTACTCCTGATAATCTCCAACGTTTGCAAAAAGTGCTTCTTGCTAGCGTCCACACTCGCGCTGTCCTGCTGGTTGCCGGCAAGGTTGGAGTGTATAAGCTCGATAAGGCCGTTGAGGTATTTCGTTGTGACCTGCCACCAATATCAGTACCTGCCAAAGAATGGGCAACAAGGAAAAGACAGCATACCGACTCATTCTTCTGATCAAAATAATACACATAACGGTCCAAAATCTCGACGAACAACTCAATGCTCGTCGCAGTCTCCATGCAGCTATCCGCCACCCTCAACGCCCGCTGCAGACACTCGAGCACCCTCTTGCCGTCACGATAGAGCTTCAACTTCTCGTCAGCACAACCCACATCATCGGATATCCCAGAGAAACTTACATCCCCGCCTCCCTCCTCCTCCTCCCCCGCCCCGGGCGTAGCCCACCACAAATGACTAGCCAAATACACAGCCCTGCACTGATCCGGCTTCCTCAACAGCTTGCTCGCATGCTGCGCACACTTCGTAATCAGCGTATCATAATTTTCCTTCCCAAAGTTCCTCGTCCTGTGCAGCGCGCTCGCAATAACACAAACAGCCTGAAACTGCGCCTTCGAATCGCTCACCGCCTCCTCGTACACCGTAAAGGCCTGCGCAAAAAACTCATACGCCACCTCCTCAAAACCCGTCTGGTCAGCCACCTGCCCACACGAGCAAAAGAGTCTCAGAGACAACTCCGCCGCGCCGGAGCCATTGACTCTTGTGTAGAGCGTTGAGACGGCAGAGTGCAGAAACTTGAACAAGGCGGAAGACTGGGAAGACCAGTTGTCGTCGTAGTGCTCCCTCTTCTTGAAGCGGCGCGCGAGCTTGAGGCCGGCGGTGATGAGCGGTGGGGTGGTGGTGCGGATGCGCTCGTTGCCTTCGGCGTAGGCCTTTCTCGTCATTTGCAAGAGGCGGAATTGGGTGTCGTTGTCTTCGGAGTGGAGAAGGTGGATGAGTCTGGCAAGCCAGCCTTGCTCTTCCATTGTCTCGTCTGTCTCGAGGGCACGGGCGCGGGGCTGGACGACGCCGGGATAACCCGCTGGTGCTTGGGACCCTTCCTTGATGAGAACTTTGAGGATCTCGAGCACATTCTCTAGTTGTGCGGGTGTGGAAATGAAAGTGTGGTTCTTGAGGAGGTGCCTGGCTACCTCGCCGGCTACCGCCCTCCGAGTCGGGTAGGTCTGTGATTGGAAGAGAGGGACATATGTTGGGAGGGAGAGCGCAGTAAAAAGGGACACATATCTCCGGAGCGGGCTCTGGAGAAGCGCCAAAAGACTTTGCTGCGCTGGTTGCGAATGAAGATCTGGGCTGTTGGCGTGCTCCTTCACCTTGCTGTTGGCGTAGTCGAAGATTTGATCGACATAGTCCAACCGCTCGGGGTAAATGTTGAGGGCGAGATTTGTCAAAGAGACACAAAGTGCAATTGTATCTTGAATGGGGAGATGTTGTGCTTGCACAAGATTCTTGACTTGGCCGAAGAATATCTCGTACAGCCGGACGTTTTCCGGAATGCCTCGCCGCTTCTTGGCTGGCTCAGCCTCGGCGTTGTCCACTGCGGTCGCTTCGGTATCAGCGACTGAAGGGGCTGGCTGGTTATCGTCTTTATTTAGTGTTTCCGCTGTCGAAGAAGCATCATCCGGATTCTGGTCCCCGTTTCGTGGGACTTCGGCTGTATCAGTTGGTGGCTCCGTACTTGGCGACTCTGCGTTCAGTTTGCCCAGCTTCACCTTCTCGAGCAACTCTGTCAAAGCGTCCTCCTCCATCTTGCCCCTGTCTTCCTCTGTCTCGTCCTGTGACTCGCGTTCTGCATAACTTGACAGCCTGTCCATCAGGCCTATCACAATAGCCTTGACGTCGACGTGGGGATTGAGCCTCGAGACGGCGCCAAGAAACTGGTCCAATGTGTAGAGGTGGAACTCGTCTGGGAAAACCTGGGTAATAACCTCGAGAAGATATTCTTGGGCCAAGACGTCTCGACATTGGACAACCTGCTCGAGCAGGGGCGCGAGGATGCCATTCTTGTAGGCCGGAAGGTCGACGAGCTGGCTTAGTCGCACGATGTTGCTCCCCACTAACAGCTGAAGCTCCTTGCGTTCTTGCGTCCGCTGGTCCCGCTCTCTTGAATGTCCTTGGTGCTGGAGACGCACCCACAGTTTGTTCATCTCGACGAAGTTGGTGAGGACAAAGTTGATCGAGTCCTGGAGGTTTCCTTCGGGCCCGTCGGAGTCGCCGGTGGGCAGATAGTCTCTGGCTTGGCCCATGAGATAATAGCGCAGAAACAGCCCACGTATGGGGTGCTGAACGCCACGGCTCATGTCCATCATATCCTTCATGAGCTCCTTGACAGGGGCACCCTCCACCGACATGTAGGCCGTCCCGACCGTCATCATCAGGTATAGGCGTGGGATGATGTTGCCGGCATATTGCACAAGTTCGTAGAGATCGGCAAGGTGGTTGACGGGATGATTTTCGCGCAGGTGGACAGACAGATATCGGAGGGCATCGAAAACTGACATGTATAATTCGTAGTATTGCTTCGGGCCGAGGCTGCTTGTCCGGAGCTCGGAGACGAGAGTCGAGCTACAAGGTAAGACGTTCAGTCAGCACGCGGTGCGGCTAGCACGACAATTGACAGTCAGAAAACAGACCAGCACTTGAGGGCATCCATAAGCTTCCCGGGAGTATCCAGGCATTTGCGCATCATGGCTGTTTGCTGGCGCACGGCAATTAATGCATCCTCAAGCAGGCGGGCCTGGTCCTCAGGCGGCGCGGGGGTAGACATGTTGCGGATGGGCTGCTTCAAATGTATCGGTTGCCAGCGACCAGCGCAGTATATGTACGGATGGGATGGTGTAATTTGGTTACTTCGTATATCTCGTGATGGCGGGTGTTGGGTCTGGATCTAGCGGGCAAGATGACGACGCAATGGAGAGCATGGCAACAGCTGGGTGAGCTCGTTGATAGCAGTGTTGCTGCAGGGGTATCGCCCACTGTGTCAGTTCCACAGTCAGCGCACTGGAGATTACGTAAGTAACTCTAGAGACCAAGCCAAACCCCGGCAACACGTGAGTTTTCCACTTCGTCAATGGCTTGCTTTCCCTTATCTTATCAGATTGTGGCTTGACCATCAGGTACCGTGAGAGTATCTATCGTTTCACATATCTAACATCTCATTTCAGCACACCGTGAAGACATTTTTACTGCTTGAATAAACAAGTCGGTCACTGCCGATTATGTCTCCACCGCAGCACGAAGCTCCTCGAGAGAGCTTCCCGAGCGACTACGGGGCAGCAGGCAGCCGGAGCGCCATGGCAATTGGTATCCGCTACCATCTTCATAAGTACGGAACCAGTTGAACTGTTGGGGAATGTGGTGTGGTGTGTCGAAGTTTAAAATGACAACTTCAGAAAATTACTTGTGGGTTTCATGTTCTGAAACCTTGACATCCTTTCCACCTGGCACCCTCAATCATACATGTTCTTCTTGCACTTGAGATTCCGGCAAGTGTTGTATTGAGCATCAGAAGAGCCGGCACCAGTGGTCTGAACGTAAACGTTTTGGTCGCCGAACGGGGTGTCATAGAGGCCAGGGCCGCTCCCGTCGATGTCAGAAAGGTCCCTAGGATGCAGTCAGCAAGAATGGTCCTTTCGAGGATGTGAAAAGCTAAAGATTACCACCAAAGACCCTGATCCCAGGGCTCTCCTTGAGTGCAATGGCAATACTCGAACTGGAAGACTGGGACTTGAAACGTGTACTTGTCGACCTTGTCTCCGCGGCGGATCTTCATAGAGACACCTTTGTCGTTCTTCAGCCAAGGGTAGGCAGTGGTCTGTCCAGCGAGAGCCTCAAAAGGCTCACCACCCTTGCCAATGCATTGGCCGTTCACACCTCTATCGCAGGGGTTCGGATCTTCCGCAATGGCGCTGTGCCACCACCAAACAGGAAAGTTGCAATGATTGTGTACCTGTAGAATGTCGGCGGCGGATGTTGATTGAGTGAAGAGCCCGAGCACGGCCAGAAGGCCAGCAAGGACGATGCTCACGAAAGATTGTATCTTATGACAATTGAGTCGGTGTTGGTGAAGAGGAAAACTATTCCAAGGATAGAGTTGCCAGAAATATATGCACCTTGGGAAAGCATCAAGATTAAACTGAATGGCTGTTAGAGTCCAGGTCTGCTCCAGTAAATAATTAACTGCTGAACCTGTACGGTCACGAAGTGGATAGCTATATTACTGGGTCATCAGGAGCAAGAGTTCTCTTGCTCCAAGACCTTGTTGAATGATGTCTTCGATGGGACTTGTTGGGATAGCGCGTCATTCAGCTATTTCCGTTGATACTCGCGTGTGCCTTAATTGCAGGCTACCTGCCTTATTGATGCTCCATGGTAACCTGGAATGCTCCGAAATGGGATGTATTCACTCTGTGTCAGATATGCGTCGTACTTGATAAGAGGACCCGGCCATGTTGCTCTTCCAACATGGCATCCATGATAGATCATACCAGAGGGCATTGATGGTGACCAGTTGGTGACGCTACTACATATATAAAAGCAGTACCTTATAACATTACTATTTGATGAGAAAGAGGACACATCTACGAAAGCAATGACAAAAACAGGATAGGTATATCCCTAGTGGCTGATATGGGCCTACGACTAAATACAGGAGTAGGTCTCCATAGAAGATTGAATTGTCAGATAAAGAAGAAAGAAAAGGAACAGGTCCCTCCTGCAGGAGCGGACTCCCTCAGCCTTATATACACGACTTGAACTGTAATTAGAACCCACTGAGAAAGCCACCTCATATCGGTATCAACAAGCCTATCACGCCCCCTTGGTAAAGCCTGTTGCGCCCCCTCCGTATTCCTCCTCATCTGTGGGACCTCCCAACGATCCGTACGGAGGTTGTAGTCTTCAGATTTCCAAACCCTAACCGGATCTCATCCCATAACAGTCGTCCTCCTTCCAGTCTCCCGCCAGTAGCATCTTGTCGCCGTTCTTCCTCTCCAAGCTTTCCTATCATCCTGTATACAGCCAATAACTCGTCGCCCTTCTCCTCATCTACCTCCAGAAGCACATCCTATTCGACCTGCTCCAATCTTTCCCTTCCCCTTCTCAGAAACTCGTCAATGTCCATATCCACCGGACAGCGATACTTAGTTTTCTCCGCCCTCAGCTTGGTAACCTCCACCTGCGTAAGAGCAAGCGTCTTACAGGTATTCCTAAACGCTCGCTCCAACTCATGCATTTCGTCCTGGACATCCACAAACCTTCGCTGCAAGTCATCCTTTTCGTGTCTCAAAGCAGCCATCTCCCTCTGCATCTTCTTGATGTGGGGGCTGTTCGGTTTTGACTGCGGCATCATGTTCTTGTTGAGGCTCCGTTGTAGCTCAAGACGCTCCTTGACGAAGGTCTGGTAGAGGGTAGCGCGTTCGTCGGGATCATGCCACTGGGGCTGGGTCTTTGGGGTTTGCTGGTCCGTCTTCTGACGCAGATCATCACCGTCATTGTCGCGCGTCGGTGCCCGAAGCCAATCGAAGATTTTCATGCTGTTGATGAAGCTGTCCATGGTGGAGAGGATATATGTCTATCTGGAGGTGCTGCTGGCTATTATGGTTTGAGCCCGAGAGGGAAGAAGACCAGTGTGAAGAAGGTTGTATTGTCTGATGGAGAAGAGAGGAAAGGAACAGGTCCCTCCTGTGGGAGCGGACTCCCTTATATACACCTAAAACCCACCACTAGAACCCACTAAGAAAGCCTTTTGAGGGCAAGGTTTGCAGGTAAGGTATCTTATTTAAAAGTTTATCAACTGAAAACTTTAAACTCTACCCTCCAGCTAAGACAAAAAGGCAGCGCAATGGCTTGGGAGGCTTGGGAGGCTTGGGAGGCTTGTGAGGCTTAAAGTCATTGGTAAACTTAGAGCGCACCATGGGAATATTTACTCATTCTATGAAGCATAGTAGAGTACGAAGGTAGATCCCGTTATCCCTGGCACAAGGTGATGGCTGGATATCGGAACATCATAGGTACCTTAGGTAGGACTAAAGAGGTGAGACGTAAACAACCCTTTCTCCAACCACGTTCGCAATTAGCAAGGTAGGGTTTGAAAAAAAGGCTATAAAATCACGAAGCTGCGGTTCAAGAGATCAATACCATTTAACCGGCCTCGGTAGTCTTGACTGATGACGTTCTTATTGAAAGGGTGGTCATGAGCTACCTTATCAACTCTCGTTGAGAGTACCTATCCCCACTGAATCTGAGAGCAACGCAGTCCGAAGAAAATGGGTTCTATAAAGTAACCAGGACATATCTCATCAGTGAAGATCCACCGGAGCCTGCATTGAAGTCATCTCCAAGCTAGTGAATTTGTCGAGATGCTCCGTCCATGATGATTACCTACGGTCACGCCTGAAGTGAAGTGACGCGATAGGGCAAAGAGCAACATGGGAAGCTCTCAACAATTGTGGTCCTGTGTGAAGAAGCTCCTTGGGATGCTCTAGGCCTGGGTATAAAGCACCACATACCTATCGCCAGACCAATTTCTGTCAATCTCTTCTTCCAGCAACATCAACGACACGAACAACTACCAACCAACAAACTCCACGAAACTCCCCAATCCGTCAACATGGTCTCCAAGATCTTCTGCGCCATCGGCGCTGTTCTCGCCCAGCTCGCCCATGGCGCCGTGATTGTTCCCATCGCCAACTACGCCGTCAACGAGGTCGAGTGGAATCTTCCCATCGATCCTAACGTTCCCACCGGCCCACGCGAGGTCGTCACCGGCACAGTCCAGGAGGCCATCGCCAAGATGGAGATCTCCCACCCCGGCTGGACCCAGAACTTCACCGCTGGCATGAACCTCACCGATCCAGACACCGACCCCGCCTCCTCACCCTGGCTACCCAGGACGAGCGCGAGTCCACCCACTGCGATTTCGACTCGGGCAAGTGCAAGGTTTCCGCTCAGGACTTCTTCAAGGGAAGCTGGAACGTCTATGTCACTGGTGACAACTGCTAGACGAATCAACACGGCAACGCATGTTCGCTTGTTGATCGAGCCGCAGAACGCAGAGGCGGTTAGATGGGGTCTCATTGGCTGAGAAAGGGCTGGGGTGGCGGGGATGATTCGGAGACAGCACCTATGTAGACCATGGCGTCAACAATCGAGAAATGTGCTTCCCATCAACATTATGTTCCACTTTTCCATGTCTATTGGTTTGACTTACCCCTTCGACTGCTTTTACTAGTTGTCAAATGAAGTATGAGAGATCACACAAGCTTCCGATACGTGTCCACACGCTGTTCCTTTGACCTACTGTTCTCCTACCATCCACTGGAGGATGACTGTTTTTTACTTGGGGCGAAGATGAAGTACAACGAGACTGCAGTGGCAGTCTGGAGGCTTTTAGGAATATTTGACAGATTGTTCATGATGGCTCTACCAGATACAACTGTCTTACAGGGTCTAGGATATGTTTAATATTACGGTATCTTTGATCCTTCTGAGTCCTGCTACATCGCGCAACGCAAGCTAACAGGACTCGGTTCGTTCCGGCCAGTCTTCCCAGAACCCCACCACAAGTTGTTTGATATCTAGGTCCCCCTTCGCACCCCATACCTTACCTACCCAATCTTGTATGAACTCGACCTACACAGCCGGAGCATTATCGTAAGCATGTGCCAAAAATCCCAACAACGCCCCCCTCATCGCCGACGACTGCGCAGCCGGAATCACCTGCAGCTGGCAGTAATCCCCCACATAGTCCATCGTCGGCGTCATCTGCGTGAAGTGCACCAGCACCAGAAAATCCCAATTGAACAGCGCCACATACGGCGTCCTGTGCGCCACCGCGTACGAAGCCGCCTGCTTGATCAGCACAAACGAGTCCCCGTCAAAGTACGTCTGCTTGCCGTGGGGCAGGGCCATGGCGGCTGCCACCGTGTTGTCAACTACCTGCTGCGTGGGGACGGTTTGGGACCTGATCGTGGCGGCGAACTCGGTCGCCGTGATCACGCCGCGCTTCTTGAACTCGACGACGGCAAAGGCCTTGAAGTTTGGGTTGGCCGTGTTGGGGTGGCGATAGTAGGTAATGTCGCTGCGGATGCGGTTGGTGGAGGCTTCGGACTGGCAGGTGATGGCGATGTTGGGGTGGGTGCTGAGGGCTTGATTGATGGGGTGGAGGAGGTACATTGCGGCCGAGCGGACGACGTCGCCTTCGCTGCCGTGATGGACGGCGTCTTCGCGGAGGGAGACGGTCTCGACGTTGAGCTGATGGTTGGGGGTGGTGGAGGCGGGGTGGTTGCCTAAGAAGTTGGTGCCCAGGTTGTTCCAGTTGTTCTGGGAGGCAATCGCAAAATAGGGGGGGTCTGTGTCGCGGGTTGAGTCACCGGAGATGGTGGCGTTGGCATTTCCATGAGGGTTGGGGTAGGTGGGGAGAGCGTTTGTCGCGACGTTGGCGAAAGATTGGGAGATACGGACTGGTTGGGCCATTTTGCAAGAGTAACGGTTGGGAAAAAGAGGTCTGAAGTGTAAGGTGGCGTAATTGCTTTGCAGATGTGTAAGACGAAGACGATGTGTTCAGGTTTGAGGCAGATCAGCTCTTGAACAAGAGGTGGACGATGTGATATAAGTCTGAAGACTACGACTAGCTTCAGGAAGCAAGGTAGATAATTATGGCAATGGCTTGCGGCGGGTTGCTGTCCAACGCCGCTTCGAATACATTGTTGGTCTTACTCGTATTCTGCGGCATAGGTTGGACGGAAGCGGCGGGGCGCCAGTACGGCGTAGGAGGTGTGGATGTGGAGCTAGTACCCTGTTTCAAAGAGCGACGGTCGTCGAGTTTCAAATTCGCGAAGATTGTCGTGACCCGACGTGTATCCATGTAATCCTCAAAATAGTCCTCGAAATAGATATCGTGAGCCGTTGCAGAGCTCGACTGCTGGGAGGGTCATATGCGTCTGGAAGCGACTTGTGTAGCACGTCGCAAGTTAGCACTGCTGCTACTAAGTCCTACACATGCATGGATAGAAACTATGCCTTCAGGGGATAGTTTAGGTAGGTAATATTATAAGAAGCCTACCACTGATAGAACTCAAGGATCTTTGGATTACGACCATTATTAAGCATTGTTCAGTGCTGTATGTAGGTAAGTGAGAATGATAGTATCAAATACTTATTTACGATGGGTCTAGCGTGATATTGTGTTTGATAGACGGTGGTCATTCTATTCCTGAGATATCCGGGTGCTTTCCGTTATCCAATAGCCAAGGTACTTGGTCATTCTGAAGTATATTACCCCTGAGAAATCTTCAAAGCCACGGTGCCCATTTGTTGCCCAGGAACCCCTTAAACTCTCAAGTACATACAACTGACTTGCTGCCAAAGAGCAAGAACACAAGCTAACACTCCTATTTGGCAATCTCCAGTGTTGTCTTGAGTGGTGCATACTTGGCCGCATTCTGTCCTCCAAAGCGACTTCTCAACCACTCCTGACGCAACCTGGGTGTCGCTTCCCACTCTGATGGGATCCAGCCTCGGAACTCCACGAGCGTATCTTGCCAGTAGAGCTCCATGGGGTTCGGTGGGAGCGCGGACCTCGGTCTCTGCCAGGGCCGAATTCCATGCCTTGTCTTTTCATACACAATGGCGGCATTGTAGTCGATCAGGACGATTCGTTGGGGAGGCTGCCGCATGGCGCTGGGCATTGTGCCTGGTGGGTAAGCACAGATGACGTTACGGGCAGCCAGATCGTTCTGTGCGATTCCTTTGAACAGCAATCTCGCATTGCCATCTAGCACCCTCCCCAGGATCTCCAGGCGAGATGCCCGGTCAAGAGCGACTCCGCTGTTGGGAAGACAAAGCTGGCTGATGCTAGGTCCAGGGACGTTCTCGATGAGAATCATACGAACTGGACGTTGCTGAGTGGTGCCGCCAATTCGGATGGTCACGTTGAAGGTCCAAGAGCCAAAGTATCTTGGGGCCAGTGCGCCCGCTTCTCTTTCCTTGTTCAGGTGCTCGTAGGCTGCGGCCTCACGGCTGTAGTCCTTGTCCGCATCGAAGGTAACATCGACAGGTACAGATGGTATGTCCTTGTTGCGGAATGAGTAATACAGCGCGTCGTAAATTTTTGCCACGGCCTGGAAGGCGCGCTGGCCAGCGATCTTTGGCGTGACGGTGCAAATGGCTAACTGTGCACCCCGGCCATCGGCGACGGCGAGCTCGCCATTGATGGTCAGTGTCGCAGTCTTCTGCGCTGGCGGATTGGCTGTTCCCAGGGGTGGGTTCCTCATGACAAGTTCGGTATGCTTAATAGACCGCAGAGTCTGGTCGGCCACTGCTGTCCGTGTTTCACCACGACCGTAGTCTCGGCCACCAAAAGGTGGGGGAGGAGTATGGCTCTTGATGTCCACCGTGAAGTTTCTGCGGTACGGACAGGCAGGCTTGTCCGGGTCCGCCGGCGGTTGCCACGTCACAGGGACTTTAGTTCCGGGAGGTGAAGGCATGGTGGGTGGTGTTTGCAAGTGTTCAGGTCAGATTAATCTGGCAAGTAAAGGGCCGATGAAGCAAGGGAACGTGGGGCAACGGGCAATAAGAAGGCTGCAGTGCGATGGCAGGTCTGTTGGTCTTCAACTTGCCCCACCTACCGTAGCTGAGCCGCACATGGGGCTTTGTTACACCCACGCCGCTAGCTAGGGGCACAAACAGCGCTAGGACAGAGGAATCTCACCTATGTTATATTTTTGCAGTCGTTACAAATTAGTCTTGTCTCAAGTTGCCCAGTGCCGTGAGGCCCAGCACCTTTGGACCTCGGATTATAGTACTCCAGTTCATTTCAACTTTGGATGACAAGCTACCTACCCAGAGCCGTCCAAAAATAGGATTTGGTTCACCTATAAGACCGCCGTCACGGTGCCCTTCAAACAGAGGGCAACATCCTCACACCTCGTTAACAAAGCCCCGACGACATATATCCACATCTCCTGCTTCAGCACAAAGCCCCAGTCCTTCGTCGACACTATCGAGACCCTTCACACCGCTTTAACTCTTATTACCACCTGCACCATGCCTCTCCTCCCCACAAAGACAGCAGCACCAGCCAAGGCACCAGCCAAGGCACCTGCTCCTACAAATAAAGTCCAGGCCGGTCGCCCTGCACCGGCTCCAAGCAATGCTCTGCCCGTACGACAGGCAGCCCCACCACCCGCCAAAGCCGCTCCGCCGCCTGCCGGAGGAATGAAAAGACCGCCTCGCCCAAGCAAGCGCGGCGTCCGAAAGATTGTTGCTCCCCCACCCAAGCCTGAGCGCGGTCAGCGGCTTGCCAAATTCCCCATTGGCCTCTTCGCCAACGCCAAGCGTTGATGGTTTCTTGCCGCTATGAGCCTATGAGGCTATGGTGGAGGGGGGTTGGAGGGAAAGATGGTTGGGGGTGTTATCTGGAAGTCGATATTAGCGCATTGTGCTGGGAATATTGACAGACCTGCGGCTTCACGGAGTCTTCTCAGGACAGGTATCCCTTATGGTAGAGCTTAGAGAAGAATAAATGCATACGTCTCTGGATTACAGATTACTCTCTTATTCCCTTGCAGTAAATTATAATGGACTTTGGAGAAACTACCTAAGATGTAGTCGCGCTAGCGGACTCTTTTTGATCATTGGACACGTGTGTAATGTGTGTAGCCCCACATTGGCTCCCAAACGATGCCTTACGATATGGAACAAGCGTCATCTGCCTTCAAATTCTTCTTCATCAAGAGCAACAGGGCGGGTACCTACGAAACTGAGGCATCAAAAACCGCAAATTGCTGTCCGAGGTCCTAACATGTCACGGCAGCTTGGACCCCAAGAGGAAGCTACCCGAAATGACCCGGCCCCGAAAGACAGTCAACTGACTCAGCATGGAACGATCACACACTATAGGGATCGAGCAGACGCGCCTGTTCATGGACGCCTTGAACAAGAATATCCTTATGCGTCTTTGACAAAGGCGGGGAATATTCTTCTGCTCCATCTCATACCCAGTCGGGAACATGACGGTCGGATCGAAGCCAGACTTGTCGAGTATCCTTTGCTACCAGTGACGCGAGCAATGCATCTATATGA